ATCACGCTGCTGAGAGAGATGAGACTGAGATTCAGAGAGGTTGAGCAGCTGCTTCAGGTCACACAGCTTGTGCACAGCCGTGTCAGAGACGGATTCTCCATCTGCTACACTTGATTCCCCCTTAGGATCTGGCCTCACCCCCACTGCCAACCCGAGGGTCTCCAAGGAAGCACCGATCACCAGAGCTAGCCAGACCTGGGTGTGGAAAAAGCTCTTTGTCCTTTTCTTCAACTAACAAGTTGGGATTTGTTGAAAAGGAACTTTAAATAGGAAACCAAGAAAAAGCACCCCCAAATAATTTTTTTTTTTTAAACTAAACAGATGGGCAAGTTCAGGTCCTCCCTCTGAGCTGTTACTTCCTCCACCCTAAAACCAGCAGGAGGTACTCGATGGTCTCAGAGATCCTTATCAGTCCTGATATCCTGTGATTCCTCAATTAGTTTCTCAGATGGACCGTGGGCTGGTAGGTTTTGTTGGGCCACAGTTAAGGAAGGAGGAGGGTAGGGTCCTGTTGCAGGCTGCCTAGCCCCCACCCAGCTCTCCTCCCCTTTAGGACTTGACCTTAGAGGGCGAAGGGAGAGAGACACTTGCCCAAGGGCCTTCTCCTTCCTCCTCCCAACTCTCTCTCTCCTGCCCTGCCTGACCAGCTTGAGGGCTGGGCTGGGCTAGATAGGCCTACAGCTTGGAGTCCAGGCTGCATGCTTCCTGCAGGGTCTGCAAGAGTCCTGTCCCCTCTCTTGGCCTGTTTACTCATCTCCCCTCCATGGGTCACCACCCACTCTGACATCCCAGGCCCTGGCTTCTCCTCCCCACTCCTGCCAGTGGGACCCTCTGGAAAGCCCCACTCAGAGCCGACAGGAAGGGGAGAGGGGAGGCTCGTGGGCGAGTTCCTGTGGAGGCTCAGGCTCTCAGCCGTAGCCGTTGGAGCCTGTCGTTTCCCTTTCCCCCGCCCACCCAGCCGGGAGGGAGGCCGAGAAGTTTCATCACTGCCGTGTTGTTGTCCTTATAAGGGAAGGGCCTCCCGAGCCTCTCCCTGGGGCCCTGGCTGGCTGGTGGAGAGCCAGGCCAGCCTCAGGGTGTCCTTCAGGAAAGGTGGGGATGCCCCAAGCCCCAAGTCAGCCCGAATTCCCCTGGGCTGAGTGTCCATCTGAAGTCAGAGACTCTCCAGAGAAGAAACAGGAAGCAGTCGAGTGTCAGCCCAGGTCAGGAACCCAGAGGGTCAAATCCCAGGTCCCAACACTAACCTGTGGTCTCCTAGGCACGTTGTTTAAGCCTCAGTTTCCTAAGCTGTCAGAGGAGTGAACAGAAATACATCTTCCTCATGAGACCACTGGTGACAGTGAGAGACCAAAAGAGGCCTGCCAAGTAGTAGGTGCTCTGTGAGGCCGGGTGGCTGGGGTTTACTAACCTCATCTTCTGTGAGGCAGACCATGGGCTAAGCGTTCCACAACAATCCTGTGAAGAAGGGAGAATTAGCCCATTTGACAGACAGGAAAAACTGAGGCACATTTTACCTAAGGTCACTCATTCATGGCTGGGGTTTGAATCTAGATATGTCTGCCTCCAAATCTAAAGTCATGTTTTTCTACTTACACCCTGCTGCTTCCTCCAGGAACTTTGTTCCTGTAAACACAATTATGACAACAGGGCAGAATTTCCACCATCACCTCTCCACCCTCCACATCCCCCAACAGAGCCTCCTCGTAACGTCACAGAAACCTCCACTTGAGTGAGTTCGTGAGGTCTTTTCTGACAGTCCTGCCTCATGTCTGGGACATGAGAGTAGGGGTCAGGGAGGCTGGGAGGCAGGAACACAGGACTTGGAAGGCATAAAATATGGTGGCTCCAGAAAGACACAGGGAGCTTCCAGGGTCCAGGCTCAGGTGGGGGCAGAGGGAGGGGCAATCTGGATGTCCCCTTCCCCACCAGACCCTCCCGCTCTGTCCTGGGTCCGCCTGAAGGCAGCCACCTGTGTTTTGCAAAACCCCACAGGACTTCAGGCCACTGAGATATCGGGGACGGGTATTCAAAAGAAAAAGGCTCCGTTTCTCTGCACAGGCCTCCAGCCCCTAGGGCCAGAAGGAAAGAAAGTTCTCACCACATCCTTCCTCAGTCTTGCGGCTGGCTGGCCACTGACACCTTCCCAGCAGCTGCTCCCTTCAAGGCGTCCCTCGGGAGGAGACTTTGTTCCTGGGCCAGGGTGGGAGTATGCCCCCGTCGATAAAGGGACTTCTCTCCCTTACTTTGGTTCCTCCTTAACGATAAGGTGAAATGGCCCACCTTCTGCAGGCCACCCACTTGGTGTGGTGGACACACGTCAGGTCAGTGGCAGGGGAATTCAGGAGGGGTACGAAAGCCATAGAACAGTCAATAAGCCCGGGCCAGGTGCTTCCTGTTGTGTTGACCACCAGGCCTTTCCAGCAGCCCTCACAGATAAGGAAGGGAGCCGGCCTTTGGGGAGCACTGTGGTGCTTTCCCACGTGGGGAGCGGGTGGCACTGCAATCTCCCTTTTATGGGTGAGGAAACTGAGGCCCCGAGAGGCTGAGATTCACTGAAGCCCCTGGGTGGGACTTGATACCTTCCCAGCAGCTTGACTTGAGTGGAGCTCTGTCTACTAGGCCCAGGGGTTTCCAAAGAGCACTCAGCAAAGCCCTGGGGTGCTGCTGAGATGTATTAGGGGTGCCACAGGCATAAGGCAGGGCCCAGGATCACCCCAACCAGGACCAGGCTCTGAGGTTAAAATGACAGCTGGAATCATTTTGAACCATCATAGGAAACACCTGTTCAGGCAAGCATCATCAATGGAGATTAGATCTAAGGGGAAATTTTGATGTGGTGCAACATATTTGTGCATGGTCTTTAATAAAAAGTCTCCCAGATTGCTTATTAGTTACATGAGAAAAATATGTAACCATACAACAGAAAAATCAGACACTTTAACTGGGTGATCCAAATAAGCATCACCAGTAAAAGTCGGATGGAGGCTGTGTTTCCAGATGTGATTCCCTGAGAAGGACCTAGTATCGCCTACACAGTTCTCTGGCTGAGACTCTATAACCTTGATCTAATTGTGAAGTAACCGCAGACCAACCCCAAAGGAACAATATTCTATTAAAAAGCCGGGGAGGACTGTATTCTTCAAAAATACCCACATCATGAAAGATAAAGGCTGTGGAAACATTTCAGATTAAAGGAGACTCGAAGAGACATGTATGTAATATTCAACCCTACACGGGAGGCAACATGTGATTAAACGATATTATTGGGTCTAAAGACAAAATCAGAATATGAACAGTAAGTATTCTATCGGTGTTAAATTTACTGAAGTTGATAACTGCACTAAGATTAATGAGAGAATATGCTTATTTTTAGGATATACACACTGAAGTATTTAGGGGAAAGGGGCCATGATAACTCTCCAAAGACTCAGAAAAAAAATTGTGTGTATATTACAGAGAGAAGGCACTCGAAAGACAAGCCAACAGGTCAATCTGAGTAGAGTATATGCGTGTTCTCTGTACTATACCTACTCTCGCAACTTTTCTCTGTGTTTGAAATTATTTCCAAATGAAGTTTTTAAAAACTGAAAAGCATTGTTCCCAATGACACTTGGCCTCCGGGCTGTAGAAACATGTTGGGGGCAGGGGATGAGACTGGAGCACCTGGTCGAGTTTAGCGAAGGTGGAACACTGAGGGAGGGCGAGGACCCCAGCCTGGACTATGGGAAGTGGGCCCTCAAAGAGAGCTTGGAGGAAAGGTGATGCCCCGGTCAACCACCACCTACCCTCTGCTTCCATGAGGCCCTGGAGCTGGTCCCCACACCAACAAACGGGCTTGTGGCAGCGAAGTTCCATGAAAAGGGATTTATTGCCAAACTTCAAGAAAGGCGCTTCATAAGCAGAAGGCATGGAATGCCACCCTCCTCAAGGAGGCAGGCCAGGCAGCCCCTGTGAATTCCCGATCCTCTCCCCTCCCCTGGAAGCTGGCTTCCCCCTCGTGTCCAGGCTACCAAGGCACAGGAACCCCACAGAAACCAATGGCATTAGGCCACTAAGGTGACCCCAGAGCTACTTGCTCAGCCTGGTCACTTATCAGAGGAGGAAACTGAGGCTCTAGTCCCAGGAAGGAGGTGACTTGGCTAATGCTCCAGCCAGCCCAGGCTGCTGGTGGAGCAAGGCTGTTCCCCAGAGGAAGACTGCAGGGGGCCACGTGACTGTGGGCCCCTGGTGACATTCTTGCTCTCATACTGGAGACAGATGGAGAGACATCAGACTGGGGCATGGGAGCCTAGTCTGTTCAAGGAGTGTGGCTTAGGGAGGCCAAGGCGGGCTCACGAGCCATGACCTTGCTGCTTGCCCCCACCCCTGCCCAGTACAGGCTGCAGAGTGGACACGTGCCCCTCCCGATCCCTGGCCACTGTCCTCAAGAACCAAGGAGAAGGCAGTGAGCTGTGCCAGTGGGCCTCAGAGGGCATGACTGGTGGCTGGGGGTGAGGCAGTGGGCAGGAAGGCCAGGCACACAGCTGTGACCCTCCTTCTCTTTCAGTAAACAAAAGTGCACTTGCAGAAACCCCTGAGCAGGCCTGTCAGAAGCTGCGCCTACTCCCACAGGCCCCAGGGAGAGTGGCTGTGGCCCTCAGGGCCTCTGCACCTATAGACTGCCCTCAGTCCGGCCGCTGCAGCAGGATGGAGACTGGATGTGCTCCTGCAGCCCGAGACGACGGCGGGGAGGGGCTCAGGAGAGGCCCAGGGTGCAGGCACGGACCACGAAAGGGACAGGAGCTAATGCTCCTTCCACAAGAAGTTCAGGAGAAGCAGTCCCTCTAGCCTGAGCCAGAGGGGTGAGGGGAAAGGGGAGAGGGAAGTGGGTTCAGGTCCCAACACACTCCCAACGGCATTTGAAGAAATAACTGGGATACCGGACCTGTTTGGGTTGAGAAGCAACCACAGAGACCCAGATATAAATCCCATCTGGGAGGCACAGAAGTTGGGGCAGCTTCTCTTCTGAAGGTTGATTTATAATGAATTACATACAGGATGTTCTGATGTCGACATCGGGTTCACCTGTACAGGAATGTGCAAGGCTGGACACAAGCAGGTCCAGGGGCAGGGACTAGACTACGAGACCCTTCGAGTTCCTCCTCCACCCTGGAGTCCTCCAATCACGGCTCACTAGAGGGGAAGGCCTGCAGAATAGGAAACAGGCCCAGGGAGGAGCCCCACAGCTAATGGCTTTCTCACACAGATGCCTCCCACCTGCTTTCAGAGGCCCTAGCTGGGTTCCAGGTCTCACTCAGCTGAAGGACAAACCTCTAGTCTAGACCCAAGGCCCCTGCAGCTACTAGGAATGGGGGGGGTGGGGAGGGTTGCTTATGGCTTGAAGCTGCCTCTGCCTGGGAACATCTGGACATGGAGGCGGCAGGGGGGCTCAGCTGTGCTCTATTCAGAAGTCAGGAATGTAAACTATTGAGGGCGCGAAGCAGAGATGACACCGCCCTCAAAAACCCGAGCGCTGTGCCAGGGCCCTGGGGCTGTTCGGAATGACCACGCCAGCACAGAGGTACCGCATGCGTGCTCCCAGCCCAAGCCTAGAGCTGGAGGCCCGGCCAGAGAGCAGCCCTGGGTGGCACTTGGCACCTCTGGCCAGGGCAGGGCGAGAAGGATCCCAGGAGTCTCTGCAGGTCCTGGCCAAACCCTGACATGCCTGATGGCCCTTCTACAGCCTGGAAAGAAGCACATTTCTCGGCAGGGCTGGGCTCCAATGGACTGAGCTGGCCGGGAGGGACCATGCTCTGGGCTGGCAGGCCCTAGGGTGCACTTCTCCTGTAGAGGGTCACCAGCTCCTTCCGCTTCTCCCGGAGCCCAGGTGCTTCCTGGCTCAGCTCTCCCAGATCTCTGATCTCCTGCAGGACCTGGGTGGCCTGCCTCAGCTGCTCCACAGCCTGGCTGAGCAGCGCCTCGGCATTCCCAGCAGCCGGCTCACTGCCCAGCACCTTGTTCAACAGTTTCTCCGTCTGTTCCGAGGCCACTTTCACCTCCAGCTGGGCGCGATACAGCTGTCCCCCAGGCTTCCGTGGACGTCGGGGGCCTTCCCCAAGCAGGTCCCCCAGGGAGGAGCAGCGGGGATGGAACTGAGGCTGCGGGTCCCAGTGGGGCAGTGCTGTGGACGTTGCTGCATCCTTTGGGCAAGTTCCTGGGGTGCCTGCATCCTGGGATGGCTTGATGGGCTCAGGGCTGTCATCCATACCATTCACCGAGACCTGTGCTGGGCCTTGGGCAGAGGGCTCAGAGGCCCCAGGACTCTGGGCTGGCCCAGAAGCCTGCACGCCACTCATGGAGGCTCTCAGTTTCTCCGATAAGATCTTGGCTGGGGGTGTAGGGGGTGGAGCGGGCTTCCCACCCTCCCTAGGCACGGCCTTGGAAGTCCCAGAATTGGGCACCTGGGGCGGTTCTGTACTCTCAGGGTCAGGGGGCTCCTCAGGGCTGGGGCTCTCCCAGCTCACCTTCAGTTTGTCAGGCAGGACCCTGCTGGGGGGCTGCTCAGAGCCCCTGTCCTCCCCCACTGGAGTCTCTGAGTCTTCTCGGCTTTCAGGGTGGGCCTCAGAGCTTGCTGGGACGGGGGTTGAGGCTCTCTCCCCTACAGGGGTCTCCACTCCGTCACCAAGACTGGTCATCTCAGGTGCTGCGGAAGGCTTGGTAGGAGGCATGGGCGGCCGGGGTGTCTCCCGGGGCTGGGCTGCACTGACATCATTGCTGGGGGCAAACACTGGCAGCCCGCTGTCAGGAACATCAAGGTCCAGGCGCGAAAGCCCATCGGATGCTGCACTGGCTACCTGGGTGGAGGGGCAGGATATGGGCATCAACTTGGATGACCAGCCACTGGGTCAGGTGTGCCCACCTACAAGGTATTTAAGCCCTCCCATCTAGGCTGCCCAGGCCCCTGGCCCCCTACTCTCCATGCCCTCTGCTCTGGTTTCCAAAGCCACCTGATTAGAAGCTAAAGTGATTCTCTGATGAATCCTCTCCTGTCTCTCACTTCCATAGAATTCCTGGTTTTGAAATCACAGGCCAGGAAGCCAGAGCTAGGGTGCGCTCTCAGCGCCCCAGCCTGGCTTCTTCCAGCCTGTGTGATAGGCCGCTCTTTTGAATTGTGCTGGCCTGGGTGTCAGGGGACATGGTTCCACCCTGGCTGTGGGCCTTGGGAGGGTCCCTTCTCTGCAACCACCCACCCAGGGTCCCCACAGTCAGCAGGCGACAGGACCAGAACCCACATATGGGTCTCCTGCGTCATCCTGAGCTTGCTCGCCCTGCAGACCTCTGTCCGGTCGGCCAGCCCTCCGGGCCAGAGCTCTCTAGCCTTCGCCTGCCCAGCTGCTCAGCAGCTGGTGCCCACTCTCCTCATGCTGTCACTTGTGGCCCCAGACACGGGCAGCCCCAGACCACAGCTGAGTGCCAGAGGAGAACAGCTGCACCCAGCAGGCAGCTGGCCCCATCTGGCCCCAGGGGCCCACAGGGACACCCAGCAGCCCCACGGTCATGGGGAAAACTCCCAGGGAGCCTCAGAGGGCCTGGGGCGGGGCTGGGCAGGAGGCCCTTCCCAAGGTCCCTCAAGGTCCCTCACTCCCTTTTACACACACAGGGTGACCTGGCCTACACATGCGCTCAATCACTGGACACGAGTGTCTCCCTGAATTCTCAGAGGGTTCCCCTCTCCAAGGCTGGCTTGCCCCACACCTCCTAGGCCTCCTCCCTCAGACATGACTTTCCTCTCTGGCTACTTCAGTCACTCCCTCTGCAGGCTTTTTTCCCTCCGCTGACAGACATGAACAGGCTATCTCATCTCACCAGCAAACCCTCCAATGACCTTGGCCCCTTTCTGTCTCCCTCCTTCCCCGCCATGGTCTATCTCCTTCTCTCCAGCATCCCCAGCCCTGCACCCCATGACAGCCCTAAGCTGAGAAAATGTGCTGTAAACGCCACCATCTGCCTTTTCCTCAGTCCTGCCTCGTGACTTGTGGCTGCCAACCTGGCTGATGACCCCCGGTCCTGTGCCCTTCTCTCCTGATGCGCCACTCTCTGGCTTCCTCTTCCTTTGCTCCCTACTGCCCCCCATTCCCCAAAGGCAGCATCTGCTGAGGTTCTTTCCTGGCCTCCAAGGTCTCTCCCCCAACTATCGACACCCATCAGTAACACTGGTCTGACCAAGGGCTCCTCCCTTCCCCCTCCCCCTTGCCCATAACTTCTCCCACATTCCCTGTGTCCAGGGCCTCCCTTCGCCGGGTCTCCAGGCTTGGGGGCACTCCTGACAACCCTCCCTCTTTGTCCAGTCCGCCTCCCCGAGTCCCGAATTCAATCACAAGCCCAGGTGGCTCTTGCTTCCCAGTGTCTCTTGCACCAGCCCCTCCCTTTTCACCCCCTCCTGGGGCCTAGAGGCCCCACCCCTGCCTCTATTTCCTGGCCCCCTGCCTTTCCCTTCATCAACCTGACCCATCCTACCCAGGGCCTCCAACTGACCTCTGCAACGCACCCTCCCATCCATCCTGCCCCCGACTCCTGCTTTCAAGGCCTCCACAATTTCCTCCCCCCTACCCCACCTTCCCAGACACATCTCCCAGCCAAAGGGACCAGGCACACCTCAAACTCCCCTGCCCTGGGCCTCAAGCTCGCACCATTCCCTCCACCCAGGACCTCCCTCACTCCAAGTCTGCCCACTGAAACCGTTCCCGTGCTTCAAGGGTCAGCTCAGGTGTCTGTGGGTCCTCTGTGGTCCCTCCTGCTCAGCCTGCCTGAGCCGCCCTCTGTACCAAAATTAGACAGCGCTGCTTGGAGCAGTCCGTGGACAGGTCTCCTCTCCAGCTGGAAGCTGAGCTCTGAGAGGCGGGGACTAGCCTCAGGCTCTCAGTTTCCCTCCAGCACCAGCTTGGGTTAAGGCCCGTGGACTCAACACGGGAAGCAGGCGCACCCACTCCCTGAGGACATACAGCACTCGCGCCTCCACACCGACACCCCGCATGCCACTCAGGCAGCCCGATACCAAGAGTGCTCAGGAAAAAGGTGGCCCAAGCCCGCTGCCACCTAAGGAGCTGTGGTCCCAGGCTCATCTGACTCCCAACCTTCCCAAGCTGGGGCCAAGGCCCTACCTCCTTCAGGTGGACTCTTGTAGGGGGCCGGCGCCGCTGACCCCCACGTACACGGTCCCGTGTCACATGCTCCAGGGCACAGCTCTTGTCCACCTTTACCTGGGAAGGACAGGGAACCACGTCAGTCCCCAGCAGGCCATGAGGAGAGGAGGAAACGCCCAGGCGTTAACCTGAGACTCAGAGGCAGGGTCTGCACCTGCATCCTTGCTTGACAGGGTCAAGGGCCCCAGCTGTCCCTCTCTTTGAGGCACCTCCCTGCTTTTCCCCCCGCCTCTACACAGCCTGTGTCATCTCTCTGCAGTCTGAGGCTCTCCCTTCTCTGCAGCTGCTTGCTCAGCCTCAGTCTTCCTGCCCAAATGTGGGCTATCAGCCCTCACCCCTCAGTCCACTGCAATATGTAAGCAGCCCCGAGGCTGCTCTTGCGCTTAGCTTGGGGGGGAGCGGGGAGAAGACAGCCCATGATCCCCTAGTACCTGGCTTCCAGAAAAGACCTTCCCTGGCCCCAGTCACTCTCCCAGGACCCCTGGGGATAGCTCAAGAAAGAGCAGGGCCTCCACCCCCAGGGGTCAGGGAGTCTGGGGGGCAGCATCTCCTCTCTAAGGATAAGGAATGGGGGTGGGGAGTAGCCGGGAAGCCATAGGAAGAGTCACGTGGGAAATCCAGACTCTGAATCCCGGAGCAGCCTGTCCCTGTGGTGGGGGGTGGGGGGCTAAGACTCTTCTGCCCACAGGTGAGGCTCAGGCCCACCTGAGGGTCTTTGCAGTGGAGGAGCTGGTCCTGCTCCGCCAAGGCTGTGGGCCGAGACCCAGCCCATGCTCCTGTGGCCTCCAACACTCTCTCCCCTGAAATGGGGACACTTTCCCAAGCAAGTGAAGGGCTGAGCATGGCACAGTCACGTAAGACGTGATCCAGGAGCCATGGCTGCGAGGCAGGGAACCTGGGTGTTAAGAGGGAACCTGTGTGGGAAAATTCGCTCCCCTTGGGTCTCAGTCTTCTGCAATCCAAGGGGTCACTCTAGGTGGCCCCCCCAAGCCCATTTTTGCCCAAACAGCTATGAATCCATGATGTCAAAGATAAACCCTCCCTAGGAGGTCTGGCCCCCTGGGACACCCTGCCTGCCGAAAGCCTGATCATGGCCCTGCTGCCATCACCACTACAGCACAGGGGGCTGGGTGGCCACTGCAAGCAGATAAGGAGGCCCAGGGTTAGAGCCAGCCAAGCTTGGACTTCACCGCCCAACTGAAGAGTGAGCTGTCAGGCTCTCAGCTCACCCACAGACCTCTCTGCTGTTTCCTGCTGTTTCCGGCTGGGGCTGGGTTGGAAAGGATGCATGGCTGCACCCAGTTAAGTTCTACCCCACCACTTACCCACGTTTTAACTTAAAACAAGTTACTTAACTTCCTTACACCTCAGTGTCCTCATCTGTAACATGGGAACACAACCACCTACTTTGAGGGGTGTTGTGAGGATTAAACGAGGTAACAACCACAGATGCCCCAGTGTTTGTAGCAGTGACATAATCAAGGGGTTGTCAGGGTGGGGTGGGGCAGGGTCCACTCTGAGATCACACACGGTGGGAAAGGACACCCAGAGCCGTCCACAGGACCTCATCGCACCTCGTCGAAAGCTTTGTTCTTGCCTCGGTTGATCCCTTCATTGAGGGCTTTGATCCAGGATTCCTTCTCCTCCCCATTGGATGCCTGGAACTTGATGTCGCTGACCTGCAAGGGGCATGCGTGGGGTGGATAGTAGATGTTTAAAAGGGTTCCCATTTGGGGTCTTGAGGAAGCTTCCCACCCCAGATTGAAGTCTGCCCCCGCACAGCTGGTCAGGAGCAAACCACAATGACCCCCACATCAGGTCTGACACTGGGGCTTCAGAGCAAGGGAGGGGACAGATCCAGCAGAGAAGGGGCCCTCTCCATGTATACAGCTGCCAGAGATTTGGATTCTAATCAGCCTTGCCCAGATCTGGTCTCACTCCATGTGACTCCCCCAGACCAGCTGCCTGACCTCTGAGTTTTCTCTGTAAAGTAGGAGTAGTCCCAGTCTACTTCCACCAGACTGAGTACAATGACAGAGGTGACAGGCATGAGGGGTGTCCATTGGTGAAGGCCCACTGGAACCAGGGCCGCCTGCAGCTGCCCAGTGGGCCCCACAACCAGTCCTGGACAAGTGAAAAAGTCCCAGGGTCTCCTTTCTGGCCTTGAATCACAGGCTGCAAGAGAGAAAGGGCATTAGGGGGTCAATTCCAGCCCCCTCATCATATAGATAAGAAAAAAGAGGCTCATCAGATGGGATGGGACTTGGCCAAGGTGGCCTAAAGTAACCCCATGACTTGACCTCACACCCAACCTCATCCCACGCCCCCCCACGGGTTCCTTCCCACCTCAGGCAGGAGCTCCAAACTCCTACATTAGCATCAGAAGGCAGCTCAGAGAGGCCCCTTCCTGCCAGGCCCCATGGTCAGACAGGAAACAGTGGAAGGAGTGAGGCCACACAAACCCAGGAGCCGCCCCTATGGTGGACACAGCAGTAGGGCCTCTGAGCTGGACAGACCAGCACTCACAGCTGGCTGGCTCGGAGCCTCAGGGAGCTATGAAGATCAGTGATGTAGCAAAGTGTTAAACGTGGAAGTGGGCACAGAGCGGGTGCTCAGTAATAGGAATTATCACCATTTATCTCCTTCTGGACAAAACAGTCCTAGTTTCCTCATCTGGAAAAAGGGATGACACCGCCTACCACAAAGCAATGCTGAGGGAATTAAACATGGCTAAAGCCACAGCCTGGCACATAGTAGGTACTCAGAAATGGTTACTGAATGAATAGCTAATCAATGAATGAACTGGCCCAAGGTTCCTGTTTTGGGGCCGCTGCGCACTCTGACACTAAGAAGCCCTAGTTCTTTGTCAGGCGGGTCGCCAGCTGCCCATCCCTGCCCGGGTGTTAAGATAGCGCTTTCCCTCCTGCTGCCCTCCCAGTTATGTAACATGCAGCCCGCCTGGCCCCCTCAGCATCCTTGTTATATAACTTCCTCCTGGCTGCCTCTGCCTTCTCCTCACACAGGGCCCTGGTTCCACCCACCTCCCCATGCCAGGCACAGCCCAATGCTCATTTGCATGACCAGGGTAAATTTGATCCTGGCAGCAGATCGGCAGCTAAGTCGAAAACCCCAGGGCACCTTGGCAACTGCCTCAGCCCAGCCATCAGGGCCGGTAGGGGCTCAGGAAGGGACAGTGCTGCATCTGGGCTCTGAAAGGGCCCACCCAGCCCTGAATGAGGGCTGCGAGTAAGGTGACCCAGGGCAGCCCATGAGCCCAGCTATGCTTCTCCTGCTCACAGGCCCTGAGTTGGTGGGGTCCCTGCCTGGTGCAGGACTTAGCATCCCAGAGAGCTTGAGAGGCATACACTTGAACTCAGCAACAGATGCAGCAAGAGAAAGAGCACTGGCCTGAGAGTCAAGTTCACAGCGTTCTAGTCGCACCAACCTGCAATGAGACCTGCACAGGTCTCTTTACTACTCAGGGCCTCAGTGGGACAAAAACACAACCACTGGACTCAACCCAAGCTGTGGCCCTTTCCCATTGACAGCCCACCTAGGCAGGCTGGGGGGAGGGTGTTGGCCCAGGGGCTCCCCTAGGAGAGGGAATACAAAGTTAAATGGGACCCAGCGTCACCCTAAGGAACCCTGAAATCCTGCTGAATGAGCCAGGCATCCCGCAAGGTGGTCCGAATGGGGACAAACAGGAGACCAAGAAGTTGCTCCTCTTGCCCCACCCCTGTGTCCTGAAGGCCGCACACGTCCCTCCTCAAGCCCTTCCTAGCACAGGCCCCACTAGGAGGTTAGAAGCTAACGGGACTGGACACAGAGAGGGCCCACATGGCTGGAAAAGGGGGGAGGACAAAATGGCAGCAAGGAAAGAAGCGGGAGGGGGAGAGAGGAGACAGGAAAGAGGAAAGGGCCAAGCTGGCTGAAACCAGCGGGGCAGCAAGGCCCAGCAGAGGCCACCCTGCTTCCTGGCAGCGTCTGCCTGTGACCTCATGGCAGGGGCGTGGGGACAGGGAGGCAGGAGGGAGAGGGGCACGCAAGACACTGGAGTCTTTGTTTATTTGATTAGAGGGAAAAAAAGGCGTCCTCTGGACCAGACAGCCGGGGTCATGTGACCTCCCGGCCAGCCTGCAGCCTCCCTGAGGAGGGGAACACCCAGGGCGATAGGAGAGGAGAGAGGATGCTGGGGGGGGGCGGGGCCGTCTACCATCTGGCCTTTGGAGAGCACCCACTCTCTGTGTGAGCTCCTGGGTGCCGAGGGTCAGGGGCCCTTGAGCCGGAACCAGCGTGGGCTGCGCTCCCGCTGCCCAGCAGCCCCCACCAATCACCCCACGGCCCTATCTCCCCGACCCTCGCCCTGCTCCCAGGGTCACCCAGAGCTGACCTGAACTCTTGGCACGATTCAGGGATGAAAGGGAGGGTGCTGGCCGAAGCAGCTGACAATGCAGCTGCACAAACAGGCCTCTCGGAAGGTGATGCCCCACCCCCCTCAGTGGGGCCCGACCCACCTGGCCCACCACCAGATGATTCTCAGAGCCGCGAAAGGAGGTGGCCCACAGAACCGTGCTGGCAGAGGACAGAGAAGAAGGTCCCCTCCACCTCACATCCACATACGCTCACTAAGGGACACACAAAGACCCAGGCAGCCCCTGGGCCAGGCGAACACTCAGCGGCACATAAAGAGGTGCACACACGCATATCAGGCACACAGGCAGACCTTCACGTATCGCGCACTCTACACCTTCCCCAAATACACACACACAAATACAGCGCCACTGAGAGAGGAAGCGGATCTCCAGGACAGGGTCGGGTTCCAGGGCCTGAAAGACCAAAATGTGGCTCTCCCCTTCCTCACAGAGCCCTAAGCATCAGAGGTCAATGAAACCTGCCCCTACCCTGGGCACACACCCCCCGCAGGGTCAGAGCTCCACGGTGGCTCCCTTGCCCCCAACCACCGCCAAGTGGGACAGAGGGTTAGTGAGTAAAGCATCATGGTCTCCTCCAGGGCCCAGAGCTCCGGGGACCACAGAGGACTGGGTTCCTGGCCCTTAAACCTATGAAAGAGACAGAATGGCTTCGGGCAAGCCCAGACGAGGCCCACTCTCCAACCCCCAGCCTCTGTGACTCAGCCCCGCTCTGCGAGGCCCCACATGACATGCAGAGGTTGGGGCGAGGCACGGCCCAGCTGCAGATTGGCGTGAGTTGGCGAGAGGTGCTGTAAATGCCAGCCTCCAATCTGATCTCCCTCCTGACATCTGTGAAACTCTACCACATGTTAACACCCACCCGAACTCCCTGCCAGAGGTGCGGGGTGCATCCACACACACAGAGTGTCCCAGGGCAAGAACCTCTCAGGCAAGAGACTTCCTCCAGCTTCAGCCAAGAAAGAACAGTGCAAAGGGAGGAAAGCTGGGGGGCTGCAGGTCCAAGCACTGAGCCTAGGATGAAAGGTAGGAGAGGTGGCCCACCCAGGAAGGCCTGGGATGAGGGGAGGGTGTGGCTGCCTGACTATGTCAGGGTGTCAGAGGCCTGGTGGGGTGAAGGCCTCATCCCCAGCTTTCTTGCCTCAGTCCTGGGCCTCCTGGGTACGGGAGATGGCCAAGGGCCCCACCTCCCAAAGACTACTTTCCATCTACAGCCTGGGAAGGAGGCCCCAGGGCCTAGAAGGGGAGAGGGGAGCAGAGCTCTCAGCAGAGCTCTAAATGCGCCTCCTACCAACCAGGGGCTGGGGTGACTTCAAGTTAAAAGCAAGCCAAAGGTCCAACCTGTGGCAGCCCCTGGGTCTGAGCCTCAGCCACATTCAACAGAGAACCTGCAGACTTGCATCCAGGGGCCCAGCCTGTCTTAGAGAGCCTTCCAGGGGTGACCTTGCCCAGCAGACCCTGGCCTGGAGCGAGGTCAGTCAGCAGCAGGCCTTGCCCTACCTTGTTCCCTGGGGACCGCAGCAGGATAAAGCGGTGTTTCCGCTTGAGGAGGGCACGAAGGTCCTGGCACTTCTCATAGCTGCCCAGCTCCACTGTCTCCACACACTTCTGCTCATCCTGGGGAGGGAGACACAGGGGACATGGTGAGAGCTAGATGCCCTAGACCCTCAAACACCCAGGCCCTGCCCCAGACCCTGATCCCACTCAGTGAGGGCACTGCTTGGTCAGAGGGGGCCCTCGGGCTGCCAATCAACCACCAAGATGTAGCATTCAGACCCTGGCAAGGAGACGGTGTTCAGTCCACGCGGTTGGAGGGATGCCCTCAAGGCTCACCATCCATATGAGAAATGGGGCTCACAGCCCGAAGGCGGGTAGCAGGGCTGACTCAAATGTGCCTAAGGTCAAAGGAGGAAACGGGGAAGCTAGAAAGGCTTAGGAAAGTGTGCCTGGGAGTCCACGCAGGCCCAGGAGCCAGGCAGAGACCTGCGAAAGAGGTGGTCTGGAAGGAGGAGCAAGTTGTCACAAACGAGGGGAAAAAAAGGCTTTCCAGGCAGAGTCACAGAGAGAAGCGTGAATAAGGCTGTTTGAGGTTACACAACCCGCCTTCACCACAGTGATCCAGAGTTGACTTCCCCACTTGGCATCTTCCACTGTTGACCCTTGGCTTGGGGTGAAAGGCCACTCTCCATGGCCTGCACAATGGAGAAGGCAAGGGTTCCTTCTAGAGTACCCCCTGAGTCTGCCACCATGAGGCCTCATCACTAGTAAGGCTGGTGGCCAGGACAGTGGCCAGCCTCTTCTCGGCCACCCCTGGACACTGGCTGGGCTGCTTTTCTGCCTGCCAGCCCTGGCCCTTGAGTGTTTTCTCCTCATGGGCTCTACCCACCAGGTGCCTCTCCAGCCAGCTGTCTGGGACACCCTCCTCCCTCAGTGTTGGTCAGTTGGTTCCACTTCCAGGGGACACCCAGCTGGAACAGCTTCCTGGGTGTGGCACACTCGCCCCCTGGAGACTCGAGGGAAGCAGATGCAGGCCCTGGAGATGGGCACACAAGTTAAGCCAACTCCTGCTGTTGGACATCATGCAGAGCATCCAACCAGGGACCGCCTCAGTGCTCCACAGTTTGGGGTGGAATATCCGGGAGGCAGTGACTCGATTATTTGCAGAGGAAATGCCCCAATTTCCCTCCATGATAAGTCGCATATACTAAGAAACCCTGACACTTAGCGAGCACTTTTGCATCCCCGATTCTCCTGAGTCCCTCAAGCACCCTGAAATCCTAGAGCCCCAGTATTTGTCTCATTTTATAGAGGAAGAGAATGAGACCTGGAGGCGAAGAGATTTACCCTTGGGCACAGACCCAAATGTAAGGAGCAGGGCCAAACGCAAACACCCATCCTCTGACTCCCAAGCCAGAGCCCTTTGTAGCATACCAGACTCCTTCCAGGCAGAGCCAGAAGCTGGACAGTGCCCTAGCTGCAGGCTGCTCTGCACCAGTGGTCCCCCAGGTGTGGTACCTGGGCCAGCAGCCACAGCATCACCTGAGGACTTGTTAGAAATGCAAATTCTCTTGAATAAAAAATATATATATATATCCCACAAGGACTCAGAGGCAAAACATATACAAATCAATTTTCACTGCAAAGTAAAGGAGCTGTTACAGTGGAGGATTCCTGGACTCAATGTCAATATTATGACATAGCAGGAGTGTGTTTCGTATTGGGTAATTGCAATCATTGTTGCTTTTGTTGTGGTCATCCATTTACAATGCTTGGTGTCAGTTTATTTATCTCTTGTAAAAATAAAATACAGTGTGTGTGTGTGTGTGTGTGTGTGTGTGTGTGTGAAAAAAAAAAAAGTTAATGCAAAGTGTATCTGGGGACCAGCGCTGGTTTGCACATTATTTCCTACAGGTCTTCGTCAAGATGTAGTTTACCCCTATGTTACGTTTGTTCTAGTTAAATTTATTGAAATATAATTTTCTGTCTGTTAAATCTAACAATAAAAAAATTGGATAATTGGAAGAAAAAAAGAAATGCAAATTCTCAAGGCCCATCCCTACTGAATCATAATCTTGGGGGAATGGGCCTGGCAATCTGAGTTTTAACAAGCCCTTATACAAAAGTTTGCGAACCTCTGCTCTATACCAGAAATTCTCAACCTTGGCAGCACCTGGTAGCTTAAAAAAACCCCAGTGCCCAGGCAACATCCCAGACCAATTACATCAGGATCCCTGGGGCGCAGAGCTCAGACATCAGTATTTTTCAAAGCAGGTGATTGTACAGCTAAGGTGAGTAACCACTGACCTACTCTCCCTTCAGCCTTTCAGGGAAAGGGGAACAGGTGGCCAGGGTGGCCTGATCTTTCCCATCTAGATTCAAACAGGTGTCTTTTCCCATTTTTGCCTCCACGCACCTCTTTCCAATCCTTAGTCTCCAGTCCCTTCCAGGTTCCTGCACTCAACACAAGGGCTGGTAAAATCCACCTGCTCCAGGAAGCTGCCCTGCTCACCTGCAAGAGCCTAAGCCTCAGTGCTCTCTCCCTCCTCTAAGGGTCCCCATCAGAGGGCACTTCTGCAGGCATCTTACTAGGTGCTAGGGACACCCTGTCATGGGGAAGAATGGTCCTAACTCCCTGCTGAGCCATCTCTCTCTACCCTCTGCTGCATGTGTCTGCTCTCCTTTCTGTTCCCCCTACAGCACCCTACAAGGGGCAGCCCTCCAGAGGAAAAGTTTGCTGAACTGAATGCCTGACTCAGAGTGAGACTCCAGAAAGGACGTCCCCCCGACCCCCATCCCAGAGAGAGAGGTTCACCTACCCCATGGGCACAGGCCTCCCCCGACTAGGCAGCTACCGGCCCAAACATACCCTCCTCTGTCTGGAAACAAAAGTCACTCCATCTCCACCACCCAGCTCCCCACGCTGCCTGACCTGGGTCTCCTCTCAACTTGAAATGCTGAATCATCCGGCCCTTCTGCATCTCAGAAAAGTCGGATAAACCAGCAGGCACTGGGCGGGGGCAGCATTTTTGGAATGTCAGCCTCACTGACAGCAAAGAAACAGCCAAGAGTCATTCGCACTCACCTAGTTCCTTACATCAGAAAGAGGAATTGAACTAGTAAGCATTTCTCAACTCCTTCTCCTGTGCCAAGCTCCCCCACCCCCGAGTGCTAAGTTCTTAAAACTGCCCTGAGGTTTTGAATAGTGATTTTCTTTTTTAAAGCATGATTTAGACTTTTTTGTGTTTAGGGGATATGAAATCCTTCCTGCTTCCCAGACGTGGGCCAGATGTAGAGAGGTGACCCAGGACAAGTCTGGTAGCGCCTGATGGCCTGACAGCTGGGGGGCCTGTCACTGAACTCTTATGGCAGCTGGGACTGGAGGAAGCTGCGACAGCCCCCTTTATTTATAAAAATAGCCCCCTGCTGCCGCCACAGCACATCCTAATTTGGGGACAGCAGCAGTAGAGAACATCTGGGGGGCTGTCTGCACCATTCACCCCCTTGGCCTCCTCCGGCTGCTTCTCTGACACCCCAACTCCATGAGCCTGGGGACTTGGTCAGGAAAGGTGAGATGCTTCTCAAAGGCAGCTCCTTTGAACAACCTAGATCTTTCTTGGTCTGCGACAGTTAAGAATTTGCCAAGACGGCCTGAGGCATGCTGACAGAGGCCGATGGGGAACAGGCAGGATCCCCCTTCCTCTGCCCCCAGGCCAGTTCTTCCCCGTGTACTCCGTCTGTCAGAGTCATACAGTAATAGCCCAGTTGCAGTGGACAGGCCCTCTGAGAGCCTCAACCCCAGAACATAAACAGCATCTCTAAGTAAAGGCCACCTCTCCGCCTCAGGTCTTCACCCAGAACTTTATTGACACTTATTTAACACACAACTTCCACATCCTGGGTTGTCCAAGTTCCAAACCTGCTGAAATGAAAAGGGGCACAAGTCTGAAGTGGGAAGATATGAGGACTGTGAGAGGCACAAGGACGGCAAAAGCGGCAACTGGCAGCCTGATGTCAGAGGAGAATGCAAAGCTGAAAAGTACAGTCTGGCAGTACGGAACAGCCTGATCCTCAGTGACTCTGAGCCACCAAGGAAAGACTCCGTTTAGGCCCGTACCTTCTGTTGAAAGGCAGACAATATCCAACGTGTTTTAGAGGACTTCCACCAAGAATAAGTTTTAGAGTTTACTTGCTGACATAGCTGGGTGGAGAGATCCTTGACTTTGGTTCTAGACCTGACCTTCATTCACTGAGATGCTGAACAGGATTTGAGCACCCTGGGCCTCACGGTGCTCCTCTGTAGAATGTGACACGATGACCACTCTTTTTTAAAAAATATTTATTTATTTATTTGGCTGTGCCAGATCTCAGTTGAGGCATGCAGGATCTTCGTTGCCGTGTGCAGGATCTTTAGTTGCGGCATGTGGGCTCTTAGTTGGGGCATGTGAGATCTAGTTCCCTGACCAGGGATTGAACCCGGGCTCCCTGCATTGGGAGCACGGAGTCTTAACCACTGGACCACCAGGGAAGTCCCCATGATGACCACTCTTAAGGGACTATTGTGAGCATCCTCCAAGAGGTATGTAAGACCTCCAAACAAGCATGAGCAATAAGTATTATTTCTACTATCATTACTGAGTGGAGCAAGCTTCAGTTTTCTGGAAACTTCACAGATGTGGAACCTAGCCCCGGGACAGGGAGCTGCAGTGCAGGTGGACAGCTGAGGAGACACACACAATCCTGTACACATATGCTTCAAAGAGCCCCTCATCCAGGAGTCCTACGCTCGCACCTAGAGGTATCGTCCTTGTACCACACCGACCCAGAGAAAACCAGGCAATCACCCAAGGTTGCACAGCGGGTCAAAAGCGAAGCAGGCCTTCCAGTCCGGGTTCTGGAATCCTCTTGTGGCCTGGGCTGCCCTCACTTTGCTCCCTGACCCGGCACCCCCAAACTCAGGACCAGGCAGGTCCTTACCTCGTTCTCGTAGACCAGCAGCTGGGCCTGGCAGAGGAGCAGGTAGCGGTCTTTCCAGAGGCCCAGGAAGCCCCCGCTGCTCTTCTTGATCCAGCCAGCCTTGTCCGCTGTCTGCGCTCCCCGAGGCTTCTGGCCCCCCTCCTTCACGCCCTGTAACACAGCATCCGGACGCGCCATGAGGGTTGCTGCCGTGAGGCCACACAGGGATGTGTCCCTCTGCTGGATACCTACTGATATCACCCCATTTGAGCTTCCCCACAACCCCTGAGGCAGATATTCTCAATCCAATATCAGAAATAACAGTTAATAACAGCAGCCACAACAATAACAGCTGCAGTCACCTTATACTGAACCACTGTATTATGTTTTACCCAAACTGTCTCATTTAACCCATGCGACTACCCTCCCAGGTGGTAGCATCATTATCCACATGTCACAGCAGACTGAAGCTCCGAGAGGGGAGGTGACTCGCCAGAGTCACACCGCTGGAAGGACAAAACCAGAATTCAAACTGGGTCTCTCTGACCCCATGTTCTCCCCTCCACCATTCTGCCTCCCGTGTATTCATTCAACCTCATCAACACACGCTGTACTGAGCACCTACAATGTCACGGATGCTGGAGTAGGCAGGGAAGAATAAAAAGAACACATCTTTGCCCTCATGGGGCTGGCAATGTGGGGAAGGAGGAGCTGAACAAATAAACACCAGACATAAATACATTAACAACCATGAAATGCTATGAAGGAATCAGTGAAGGGGAACTGAAGAGGAGGGAGTGCGAGAGGACAGCGGGGGACCTGCAGGTCCGCGTGGCTCAGGAAGGCCTCCCAGAGGAAAGGACGTTCACGCAGGATCCGAAGGATGGGAGGAGGCAGGCAGGCAGAGTGGTAATTTTCCTCCCTACCCCTGCCCTTCTAGAGAGTCCACTCTGCGGCCCCTGCATCCTACCCCAAAGCAGGAGGTTCCGCTGCCCTCATCCCTGCCCCAGGCCAGGACTTTAGGGTAGCCACCTTGTCTGGCAAGGGCTCCAAGGACACTGCCTTCGACCACAGGCAGGTACAGGAGGTAAACTCAAACCCTTCTCTAGGACATGGCAGCCACCCTGGAGTCTCCAGGCCAGTCACTGACATCTTGTGCCTCTTGATTACCTGCTTGAGTAGCTGGGCGCCAGGTATATGCCTACCTGATGGGGTCGAATTCACATTTGGTCCCCAGAACCCAGTACCGTTCCTTTACACATAATGGGTGCTCAAGAAATATCTGTGAAATGAAAATAAAAATACACCCAATTTGCTAATCACTTTGCTTCAATGACTGGTACCCACAGTGGTGAGTGTGAAGGGGCGAGTGGAGGAGAGGGGGGCTAAGAGCATGTCAGAATCCACAGGATGTTAGAAGGAAATCAGCACTGACTAATTCTGACTGCTTTATAATTTACATAAAGCTTAAAAATGGGGCTCCAGTTAAAAGGAGCATACCTCTCCCCAGGGATATCCTGTGGCCACAGCTGCCTTTGGAAGGACAAGTCCAGACAGAAGTGTGGTAGGCTGTCAGGGGCTGGACAGGGCATGGCCTCCCTGTGCTCCATCATGGCAGGGAATCCCCAGTCTGGTTCTTACTGTGGCCCCCCTCCCCCTCTGAACTGCGTACTCCAGTGGTCAGGAGTCTGAGCTCTAAAGCCCAAGTCACGCAGACCAGAGGCAGGTCACTTGGTCTCTCTAAGCCTCAATTTCTTCATCTGTGAAATGATGATATTAACAGAAGTTGCAAGGATTATAACTCCGTGAGGGCAGGGGTTTTTGTTTTGATTACTGCTGTATCCCCAATGCCTAGACAGTGTCTGGCACACAATAGGTGCTCAATAAATGTTTGTTGCTGAATAAAAAGATACAACATACAAAGCAATGCCTAAGATACCCTAAACTTAGTAAATGGCAGCTGTCATTATTGTTGCTGTTGTCACTGCCAACCCCTCTGGCTCTCTGGAACCCTTTCCCTGGGCCTGCTTCAGAATTCAGGACAAGGCCTTTCTGGGCTTAGCTGCTGGGCCTCAATGCTCCCAGGAGCTCCAGGAATACGAGATGCCCCCTCAGGGTCTCTCCCTAGCTTGTAGATGGCAAGAAAAATGGAGAAGTGGAATGGTCCCAAATGGTCTTCCTGGATGGAGAAATGAGGAAGTGAGAGGCTTGCTGACAGGCCAGTTATGAGCCACCCTGATCAGGGAAAGAGGGGACTTCAGGGCCCTTTGACAAGAAGAGGGAGGCTCTAGCATCCTACCATGCACCCAATGCCCCCCCCCCCCCATCACCAGAGACCCTGTGTTCAGCCCCATGGGCTGTGTGACCCGCTGGGGCCTCATCCACACAGAGACCCCTCTATGCTGGCCTCCACCAGGGCTGGAGGGGTAGAAGTGGGAAACCCCACCTCAACATCTGACATGTCACACCCCTCCATTAGCAACTACAGCAGCTGGCCACCCCCTAGGCCTGCAGACTCTAGGCTTCTCTTAAACAAGACCGTGGAGCATGCTGCCCAGATCTACTTTTGAGCTCCAAGCTCGCCTCCTGTTTGCAGAGGCCCACCCACGACCCCATAGGATCTCACATCCCCCTCCACTTGTGACCTCCCCTACTTGCCTCACCCACAGCCTGAGACATGAAAACTTCCTGCCAGCTGGAAGCTCCTGGGGGCCAGGCTGGAACCTGGTACCCTGACCACCATCCTCTCCGCATGGAGCAGAGAAGTGCCCGGTGAATACCATGACTGGATTAGCTAGGGAAGCCAGTCCAGAGCCTTTAGGGATGGGAGTACCAGGATGGCACTGAGGAGAGAAGGCACTTGAGGATGGGGGGAGTGACAGCTGAGGGGCTGGAGGTGGCATGAACCGAAGCCCAGGAGAAGGTCTCCTTGCCAGTAATCAGCCACAGCAAGAGCCACCAGAAGACAGGCCTGGCTGGAGGTCAGAGTCCTGCCATCCTTCACCAGCCCCTCTCCCTGCCCCTCAGACACTCTCCCACCAGGGGGCCGGAGATGCCCCAGTAAGTTTTAATAAGCGGGCCCTCCCCTTGGCAGGGCTCACAGGGGAGGTTTTGTCCTGCTCAGCCCAGTTTCTCAGCCTCCTCTCCTCTTATTGACCAGCTGACCACTGTTCTTCCTGTTTCGCTCTCTCTTCTCCCACCCATCCTCACTCAGGCCCTCCCCCCGCCCACCGCGAGCAGCTCCTGAGGCACCCCTGGGCACCAGCCTGGCTCTGCTTTGCCTGAGATGGGAGGGCCTCTGGGTCATTCATTAAAAATAAAAAAATAAAAAAAAGGAAAAAGACACCAGGTCAGTCAGCCCAACACTGTGCACAGAAAGGAGCATGTGGAAAGCCACAACACAGGCCATGACAGGGAGATAGAGACCAGCAGAAGAGAACTTGTCGGCACCTTACATCACAGGGAGATTAGGATAATGACCTTTGCCCTTTGACTAAACCCCATGATGCCCTGACCAAACTCTGCTAAGAACCTACCATGTCAGAGCCCTGTGATGGGGCAATCAGAGAGAGGAAGCACAGGCTCTGACCTGGAGAACTTCCAGTCTGATGGGGGCAACACAGACCCTGCACGAGGGAGATCCCCAGTCTGGGGGTTGGGTAGGCATCCCCTGCTTGAAAGGATCCCAGCCCACTGGGAGGGCTCTAGCACTGACCCAGACGGATACCCCGGTCTTGGCTCTCTGGTAGGGGAAGGACTTGGGGTTAGTTTGGGAAGCCCTTGCAGAAGGAAGGGTTTTGGTAGGACTGTGAGGAGGGAAAGAGACACACATCTTGGCCCACAGAAGAAGGAAAGGCACAGAAGGTACCAAAGACCCTATACTCTCAACCCCTTCACTACAGGATGAGAAAGTGCAGGCCAGAAAGGGTCGAAGATTAGCTTAAGGTCACAAAACCAGTGTTGCGACAGGACACTGCCCTGCATCTCTCTAGATGCATTACGGCAAAGGAGCAGCCTGGTGCCACTGGAGGCCAAGCCAGGGAAAGGCATGACTGAGAGGAAGAGGGGCAAAACCCCAGGGCGGAGATAGAAAAGCCTGAGTCCAGTTGCAACAATACCTCACACTGATAACTGAAGCTTTCAAAGCTTTTGCACATAAACCATCGCATTTCTGGACTGCCCACCTCCCTCATTTTATAGATGGGGAAACTGAGGCCCTGAGAACACAAATGGTTAGATGCCCCATGCCCAGACCTGCACTTCTGCACCAAATCTCAGGCTGATGGGGACTACCAACCCATTGCATGGAGGAGGTCACTGAGGCTGAGGGGGCTTGGCATCAGGGTTCCTGGGGCATGGGGAGGAAGTTCAAAGCCAGGGGAGGACTAAAAGCGGCCATTTGGAAGTGAGGTGATGAGGCCAGCCTGGGGTCATGGGGCAGAGCAGACGACTAAGATCTAAGAGGTGTTTTAGAGAAAGGAGGATGGGCACTGAGGCCTGGAGAAACAAGAGGAAGTTAAGGGGAAAAGAAATGAGAGGAAAAGAGGGATGTCAAAGGAGGGGCGGGGTAGGGAACAGGGAGCTCCCGGCTGTGTGGGGAGGTGGTGGGCAAGACCGTAGATAGCCCAGATGTGCGGGGAGCTTTCGGCATCTGGGAGTCAGTAAGTGGCAATGTTAGAGACTCAAGACCAGAGGGAGTACAGGGCTGGGCGGACCTCCAGACAAGCCATTGGCCCAGGAGGCCCCAGGAGAACTTCCCTTAATTGGGGGCCAGAGCAGATCAGGAGATGGAGTAATCCTGTCCCAAATCCCCTGGGAGAAGGAGAGGGGCCACAGCCAGACAGCCCAGCCCTCACAGCAGGGGTGGGGAAGCCCCACCCCTGTCAGCAAGAAACCACAGCCAATCATAGTGGCCTGACTTTGCCCCCTATTTCCACCCACTCTGAGAGAAGGGGCTACAATCAGGACCCAGGGAGGAGACCAGGCCCTATATTTTATAGAAGAGGAAATGCAGGCTTAGAGGGGAAATGACTTATCTACCATCCCACAGAAATGCAGGGCCTAGCCTGGAGAGAACTCTGACGGATACCCCAGCTGCCCCTGGGCAGTGGTCCCAGGAAGCAGGGAGACGAGCACTGATGGGGACACAGGCAGCCTGGTCCCCAGCTAGCCAAGGTTGCCCCAAGAGTGAAGGTTTCATCTTTCCTCCCCACTTATCCAGGCAAAGACACATCTCCTCCCCTCGGTCTGGGAGGGGCAGAAGCTGAGACCCCTTGGGGGACCAGAAGCAAAATCCTCTAGCCACAGCAGGCCCCTCCCTAGTTTATGCATTCCACAGTCACACATTAAGTGCTGGCAGTGTGCCTGGATGAGGGGGCTACTGAGAGAACTGAGTCTGCAAGTAAAGGGCAGGGGTCACAGAGTGTCTGACCCCACCCCAGACCAAGAGGGTCCTGAGCGGGAAGAGGGAGGCTCAAGGGGCATTGCTGGTCTAGCTGCCCAGCTCCTCCAGGGAGTCAGCCCTCCAGGGATGTGGGAAAGGCAGGGGAAGGGATCAGCCCCTACAAGGGCCTGACACCCAAGCAGGGGAGAACGTAGACTCACAGGGGAAAGGGGACTCACAGGGACTTAAACAGGGGAGAAAACGCAACTTTTCCAGTCCTGCGGCCACCAGGCAGGGTCAAAACCTCAAAATTCCTTGAGACAGGGACTCCAGAACCCACAGACCCACCACAAAACACACACACACACACACACACACACACACAGTGTGCCCTAAGGATCCGACGTGGACGGCACAGGGAGTCAGTGGTAACCAGGGCTCGAGCCCAGCAACCTACGACACTTTCAGCAAGTCATCAAACTGACCAGAGCCTCAGTCTCCCCATCAATCCAATGGGAACAATAACAACCACCATGCCCATAGTTGGTGAGAGAAGACAGAAATAATGAAGGAGGATGGGTCTGCTATCCCTACCCCCGCCCCTGCTCATCTCATTTGCCTAGGCTTTGCCTGGAGACCCGCGGGAGAGGGACTGGCTGGAACAAGGGCCTGAGCCAGGGACCCCAACCGCCGCGAGGGTCTCGAAGACCCCAGCCCAGGTCCCCCGACTGGCCCGGCCCTCACCTCCTCTTCCATGACGAGTCCGCTGAGGTCCGGCCGCTCGACCGCTCGGCCGCTCACTCCCGGCGCCGCGCGGTCTCCGTTACCTCCATCCACTGCCGGCCGGGCGGCGGCTCAGTGCGTTCTGTCCCACTGGCTGCCGGGGGCCCAAGAAACTTCGGGGGGGCGGGGCCGAGGGCGGGGAGAGGCTTCCGGGGGCCGGGGGCGGGGCCCGAGGAGGGGACTAGCGGGCCCCCGAGGCCCTGGTCTGGGGCGGGAAACTAGGGCCGGGGCCGGGCTGAGGGAGGAGCCTGGGCGGGGCCGGGCGGGGGCTCGGGGACTGGATGGAGGAGCCGGAGCTGGAGGAAGACGGGGGTGGGGTGGGGAACCGAGCGGAGAGAGGTTTCCCTGACTCGCGGAAGGAGTGGGACTGGAAAGGGATAAAGGGTGTGGGGCACCGGCAGGGGGAGGGGAGGGGGCTTCCGGCCAGAGGCAGAGGCGAGGGAAGCGGGCGGGGTCCGAGGGCGGGGCCGGGGTGGGGCAAGACCGAGAGAGCGCCCGAGGAGGTGGCGGCTTCTGCATTTCAGGTCTCCTGACCGAGTGGGCTGGGGTTGCCTGACTGGGCCAAGCCGGCCTGGGCGGCCCAGAAATGGGGGCATCCAGAGAGTCCTTCTTTCCTACCTGACGCTAGGGTAGTGGTGACTACCTGGTCCTCTTCTCCCTGGAACCGCTTGGCAGGGCGGCGCCTGGAGCTCGGATCCCGTCCGGAGAGTCGTTTAACGGGAAGACCTGGGGCTGAGAGTCTGGACTCCAGGGTCCCTTTGGGGGAGGAGGTCTGCCTCTGACTCTCGGGGGTCCCCAAATGCAGTGTTCTCCTGCCCTCGTTGGGCATTGCTCAGAGCCGTCCTCTTCTGGTTCCTATATCTGAGGGCCCCGCCCCCACCCCATCCAGCAGTGAATCTTGCAGCCTTGACAACCTTGCCGAGGAGTGAAATGTAGGGACCAGATAATGGTGTTAGTTATACCTTGTACTCTCACTTTACACTTAGAGAATCAGAGGCCTAGGGAGAGAAAGTGACTGGCTACATCCCAACCTCCAGCACGGTCCTGTTCCCTCCACACACACACCTCTTCCCTCTTAGCTCTCTGGGTCAACCCTGCCCAATGCCTCTGCAGGAAGAATTAAGTGCGTGTGGAATCAATGGTGACCTCCTTTGGCTCTGGTTGCCATAGCAGCGGCTGTACCAGTTGACCCAGCTCCCCTTTCACTGCCTTCTGCTGGCCCTCAGGCTTCCAAGTCACTTCCAGTCAGCATGGAAAAGGGCAGCCTGGAGCTCCAGGGCCAAGGGGAAAGAAGATGGAGTCAGACTTTTTCTTCATACCTGGGCCTGGGTTCCTTTATCTAAAAGGATGAAGAAAATCCAGCCTGGGAAACTGAGAAAATCAGTATACATGACAACCATCTCTTGTGGCCACCACACGGTTTTATTCCCTCAACTTGCAGAGCTGTGCAGCCGTTGTACCCTGTGCCTGAGGACTCAGAAGATCCTGTATCTGGAAACTCATGTTCCGCCTGCTGGAGACCAGAGCCCCTGGGGAATTCATGCTGTTGCACAGAAGCAACTCATGGTGGGTTGGGGGTGAGGTCAGTTTTGATATCCAGGCAGCTCTGTCCCTTGAGAGTGAGCCACTGATAACCACTTTGGTCTCAGTTTCCCCACTCAGCCCATACTGGCCCTCTGGTTGTTGCCTCCACACCACACGCATTTTTTTCATCACAAATATTTTATTTGCCTTGATTATTCATCAGGCCCTACACTAATGGCTGGAAGATAATGGCAGGACCCAGGGTCCCTGTCCTTTTTCAGGAGAGAAAGGCATGTAAACAGAGAAAACTATGTGTTAAATGTGAGGATAAAGGCATAGAGGAAGGAAGGGCACTAAAACCGGGACAAAAGGAACAGGCATTCCAGGCAGAGGAGACAGTGTGAACAACATGGAGGCATGAAAGAGTATTGTGTGCGTGTATGTGTGTGTGTGTGTGTGTGTGTGTGTGTGTGTGTATAGGGAGGCCAGGCTGGAGAAGCAGACAGAGCTCAGTGTAGAGAGGACCTTGAAGCTGTGTTGAGGAGACTACATTTCAACTTCAGGCCAATGGGAAGTCACTGAAAGTCTGGGGCTGTGGAAGGGATGGAGTCTATTTTGCATATGTGCCATTTAATCAACAAAGTTTATTGAGTGCCTCTGAAGTGGGGTGTTTTCCAATACTTCATCCTGGCATTTATCTGTTCACTCAAAAGAATTTGGGGCACCTCTGTTATCTGCTCACTGTACTAAACTCACAAAAGTAGGTACCCATCCATGAAATAAATAGAATTTTTATCCTCATTTTACAGATCAAGAATCCAAGGCTTGGACCTGTTTAAGGTCTCTTGACTGGTAAGTGGTGGCCCAAGGATTCAAACCTCTCCTGACTCCAGTGCTCTCTCTAAATGATGTGTTTTGGCAGCACTGTGTGACCAGGCCACAGAAAGGCCCAGGCCCTGGCTTGTAGAGCTGATGAACCAGTAGGAGGGTAGACACGTCCTGAGAAGGGTACACGGTGTGTGCTGAGAGCTGGTTCCCAGAGGGGCTGGAGTAACTAAGTTGTATTCTAGCAGGGTTCGATGGATGGGGGAGAGGGGGTGCAGCGGGAATTTAGGACGTGGGAACATCTCACAAAAGCAAGAACTTGTAGAAGACCCTGACTTGTTAGGGGACTGTAGGCAGATTTCTGTGGTCATATGCATGTGATGTTGGTGGGGAGTTCGGAAAGATGGCACCAAGGAGGGAGCAGGAGCTAGGGCACTAAGGGCTTTGAGTGCTGACCTGAGAGATTTGAAATTCCTCCTGCAAATAGCTGGGGGCCACTGAAGCAGTGAAGCAGGGCCTGACATCATTTTCATTCTGAAACCTCATTTTCAAAACTGCTGTGTGAAGAATGGTGACAGGGCAAGAGAGACATGGAGACCCATTGGGTCAGAGATTGTTACAGAAATCCAGGTTGGAGGTGACGGAGCTTGAACAAAGCCAGTGGTTATAAGGATGGCAGGAGCAGTTTCAAGAGATAGTAGAGATAGAGCGGTCGGGACTTGGAGAGAATGGTTTCATTATTCATTGATAAATATCCACTCAATAAATATCTGTTGAGAGGCTACCATGTCTCAGGCACTGTTCTAAACACAGGGCACAAAGCCATAAACATGACAGGGGTGATCTCTGCCCTCTTGAAGCCGGAAGAGAAAGATGATAGGCAAATAAACAAATGACCACGATAACAACAGAATGTGATAAGTTCTCTAAGGAAAGTAAACAGGTAATAAAATAATAATTGGGGAGCCAATTTTAGATATGGTGTGAGTGGTGGGGTGGAGCTTTTCCACAGAGTGGAAATTTCAGCTGAAACCTGAAAGATGAGAAAGAGACAGTCACCAAAAAGAGGCAGACAGTCACAGTGAAAGGTGGAAGATATTTCATGCAGAAGAAAGAGCAAATGCAAAGCCTCCGGCATAGGGTCTTCAAGGAACACCAAGGAGGCCAGTGTGACAGAAGTATAGTGAGTAAAGAAGAAAGTGGTAGATTTGAGATCACAGAGGAAAAAGGGGAGGGAGTTGGCCTCAGGCTATGGTAAGAACTGTGGATTTTATTCTAAAAGGAATAGCCTGGGGAGGCATTGAGAGCTTTTAACTAGAGCAGTAGCAAAATCTGATTTATGTGTTTGAAAAGATCCCACCTGCTGCTGTTCGGAGAAGAGATTATAGGAGGACCAGAGTGGAATCTAGGAATCCAGTGAGATTATGAGACTACTGCTGTAATCCAGGGGAGAGCTGACAGGTTGCTAGTTCTAGGTTGTGGGGTGGAGGTTGAGGGAATTGAATAGATTCAAAATACATTTTGATAACCTATAATGGAAAAGAATCTGAAAAAGGATATGATATATATATATATATATATATATATATATGAATCACTTTGCTATACACCTGAAACACATTTTAAATCAACTATATTTCAATTTTTTCCTTATCCATGTATCTGTTGGTGGCCATTTAGGTTGCTTCCATGTCTTGGCTATTGTAAATAGTGCTGCTATGAACACTAGGGTGCATGTATCTTTTTGCATCAGAGTTTTCTCCTGATACATGCCCAGGAGTGGGATTGCTGGATCATATGGTAAGTTTATTTTTAGTTTTGTTTCTTTTTTGCGGTACGCAGGCCTCTCACTGTTGTGGCCTCTCTCGTTGCGGAGCACAGGCTCCGGACGCGCAGGCTCAGCGGCCATGGCTCACGGGCCTAGCCGCTCCGCGGCATGTGGGATCCTCACGGGCCTAGCCGCTCCGCGGCATGTGGGATCCTCCCGGACCGGGGCACGAACCCGCGTCCCCTGCATCGGCAGGCGGACCCTCAACCACTGCGCCACCAGGGAAGCCCTATTTTTAGTTTTGTAGAGAACCTCCATACTGTTTTCCACAGCGGCTGCACCAAATTTACATTCCCACCAACAGTGTGCATTCTCCACACCTGCTCCAGCATTTGTTGTTTGTGGACCTTTTAATGATGGCCTTTCTGACGGGTGTGAAGTGATACCTCACTGTAGTTTTGATTTGCATTTCTCTGATAATTAGCGATGTTGAGCATCTTTTCATGTGCCTATTGGCCATTTGTATATGTCTTCTTTGGAGAAATGTCTATTTAGGTCTTCTGCCAGTTTTTTGCTTGGGTTGTTTGTTTTTTTTGTTGTTGTTATTACTGAGTTGTATGAGCTGTTTGTATATTTTGGAAATTAAGCCCTTGTCAGTCGCATTCTTTGCAAATATTTTCTCCCAGTCCATAGGTTGTCTTTTCATGTCAACTACACTACAATTCTAAAAAACAAAACATTTTGGAGGCAGAAACAACAGGTTTCGATGGTGGATTGGATGTGGTAGGTGAAGAAGGAATCAAGGATATGGTATGGGTTTTTAACTTGAGCCAAAAATGGAGGTGCCATTTACAGAGATGATGAAGACAGGAGAAAAACAGGTCTATATGGTATTGGAGAAGGAGATTAAAAGCTCTGTTTTGGAGAGAGTGAGTTTAACATGCCATTTAGGGGCTTCCCTGGTGGCGCAGTGGTTAAGAATCCGCCTGTCAATGTACGGGACACGGGTTCGAGCACTGGTTCAGGAAGATCCCACATGCTGCAAAGCAGCTAGGCCCGTGCACCACAACTACTGAGCCTGCGCTCTAGAGCCCGCACGCCTAGAGCCGGTGCTCCGCGACAAGAGAAGCCACCCAATGAGAAGCCCACGCACTGCAATGAAGAGTAGCACCCCCCCCCCGCCCTCACCGCAACTACAAAGAAAGCCCATGCGCAGCAACAAAGACCCAACACAGCCAAAAATAAGTAAATAAATTAATTAATTAAAAAAAAACATGCCATTTAGGCATCTGTATGGAGATATCATCAGGAGGACAAATGGCAATACAGTCTGGAGTTCAGGGGAGAAGGGCAGGCTGGGGTTATAATATTGAGAATCAGCATGTAGCTGATAATTAAGCCATGAGATTGGAAAAGATAGGAAAAAAGAAAGAAAGTCCTCCCACATTGAGAGGTCTGGTTGAGGGAAAGGGATTAGCAAAGGAGACAGACATGAAGCAGCCAATATGTAGGAAAAACGAGGGGAGTATGTTGTGGAAGTTAAGAGAGTATTTCAATGAGGTATAATCAGCTGTACCAGAGGTTCAATAAAATGAGTGTCAGCTGCCCAAAGAAGCAGCTACACGAGGTGAAGTGCTCTGGAAGCTGGAAGACCGCGAAACACCCTTTCAGCTCCTCTGCCAGACTGTTGTAAGCTGAGGGCTGTAAAGGCGGAGAGGGCAAAAGCACAGCGAGAAAGGACCGCAGGGGGAGAGGAAGGAAGGGGCTGGCTCTTTCAAGTATCAAATGAGAAAACGCCGAGAGTGCAATTAGTAAACCACCTAGTCCTGTGCTGATGCCGTCGTTACTACTAGTGAGCCGGGGATTGGACTGAGACCGCCAGTGGGAGAAAGCAGGTAAGACGTATAGAAAGAGTTCTGGAGGAGGAAATTTCATAGTGAAGAAAACCCGTTTCTCCTGACAGCTTGCGTTAAAACCAGGCTTTGGATTAGGCGAGGAGATCGGGAGCAGTGTTGCGCTTCACTCGGAATTGACCCCTCGCGGCAGCAGCGAGCAAAAACCCCGCGGATGCGAAGAGGGCCCAAAGCCCAGAAGAAGGAAGTCCGGCCCCAGATGTGAGGAAGTCCAGCCCCAGATGTGAGGAAGTCCGGCCCCAGATTTGAGGAGTCCCTCTGCCTCCGCCTCCCTCCTCCATCGGCCAATCAAGATCCAGCTGACGGCCGGTGGCGCTGGGGCGGGGAGGAGGGCGGAGTCTGAGGACCGTTAATCTACAGCCAGGCGGTATCTAGCTTTCTTCCGACTTCTTTCGCTCCAAAGACTCACTGTTAACCTGGTGGGCAGAAAACCACTTTGGAAAAAGCTCTTGCAGCTTCATATAAAACTAAATTATAAACTCCACGACCAGCAATTTCTCACCTAGGAACTTATTCAAGAGAAATTAAAGCATAAATCCCAGATCTCCATCAAGAGGAAAATGGGTAAACTGTAGTATATCCATACAATGCAGTATTACTCAGCATTAAAAAGGAACCAACTGGGACGTCCCTGGTGGCTCAGTGGTTAAGAATCCGCCTGCCAATGCAGGGGACACAGGTTTGAGCTCTGGTCCGGGAAGATCCCACATGCCACGGAGCAACTGAGCCCATGTGCCACAACTACTGAGCCTACGCTCTAGAGCCCGCGAGCCACAACTACTGAGCCCGCGTGCCACAACTACTGAAGTCCACATGCCTAGAGCCTGAGCTCTGCAACAAGAGAAGCCACCGCAATGAGAAGCCCGAGCACCGCAATGAAGAGTATCCCCCGCTCGCTGCACCTAGAGAAAGCCCATGGGCAGCAACGAAGACCCAACAACGAAGACCCAATGCAGCCAAAAATAAATAAATAAATTTATTTAAGGAAAAAAAAAAAAAAAAAAGGTAAGCATAGGGACTTCCCTAGTGGTCCAGTGGTTAAGACTGCACTCCCAATGCAGGGGGCCAGGGTTGGACCCCTGGTCAGGGAACTACAACCCGCCTGCTGCAACTAAGACCTGGTGCAGCCAAATAAATAAATTCTTTTTTTTTAAAGGTAAGCATAAACTCTAGTTAATTCTATGCATGTTGAAGTGTTCAGACGTGAAATGAACTGTTGTCTGCAACTTTGAAATGAATAACAAAAAAATGGATTGACCTCGGTGCTTTGTGACCACCTAGAGGGGTGGGATAGGGAGGGTGGGAGGGAGACGCAAGAGGGAGGAGATATGGAGATATATGTATATGTATAGCTGATTCGCTTTGTTATAAAGCAGAAACTAACACACATTGTAAAGCAATTATACTCCAATAAAGATGTTTTAAAAAATGGATTGATGAATGGGGAGATGGATAGATGGTTAGATGTGTTAAAACAAATACAGCAAAATATTAATTGTAGAATCTTGGTGGTAGGTATATGGTGTTCACTGTGAAAGTCTTTCTATCTTTCTGTATATATTGGAATATTTTCAGAATAAAATGTTTGGGGTACCAGGGGCTGAGAGGAGAGAGGAATGGGGAGTTGTCTAATGGTTGTCTAACCACTGTCTAATGGGTACAAAGTTTCTGTTTCGGAATAATGAAACTTTTCTAGAAATAGAGGTGATGGTTATACAACGTTTGAATGTACTTAATGGCAATGAATTGTACACGTAAAAATAGTCAACGTGGTAAATTTTACGTTATGTATATTTTACAATTTAAAGAACCTTGGGGGCTTCCCTGGTGGCGCAGTGGTTGAGGGTCCGCCTGCCGATGCAGGGGACGCGGGTTCGTGCCCCGGTCCGGGAGGATCCCACATGCCGCGGAGCGGCTGGGCCCGTGAGCCATGGCTGCTGAGCCTGCGCGTCTGGAGCCTGTACTCCGCAACGGGAGAGGTCACAACAGTGAGAGGCCCGCGTACCGGGAAAAAAAAAAACTTGAGGGAATTCCCTGGCGGTCCAGGGGTTAGGACTCGGGGTTTTCATTGCGGGGGGTGGGTTTCGATCCCTGGTCGGGAGCTAACATCCCGCAAGACGATTGGCGAGGCCAAAAAAAAAAAAAAAAAAAAAATTGAAAGCCAAAAGAAAGAAAATGTTAGGGGAAAATTCATGTGGAAGCCTCCATGCTTTCTCTAGAACTGGTCTGGGGTACTACACAGAGAGAAGGGAGAAGGTAGCCGACAGTGTGAGTGTGCTAGGCCCACTGAGCACAGGGTAGTGGAAAGAGAGAACACAGGCTTTGGAAATAAACAGACATGGGTTCATAATCCCAGCTTTCGCTTTCTAGCTTATGATTGTATTTGTTTCTTATTGCTATAGCTGCTGTAACAAATTATCACATATTTAGTGGCTTAAAACAACACAAATTTATTATCTTACAGTTCTGGAGGCCTAAAATGTGTCTCACTAGACTAAAATCAAGAGCTGTGTTCCTTCTGGAGAATCTAGAGGGGGATACCCACTCCCTCACTTTTCCAGCTTCTAGAAACCTCCTGTATTCTATGGCTTGTCTCATGGCCCTTTCTTCCCTTTTCTGGGCCAGCAGTAACATCTTCAAATCAATCTTTCTCTCTCTGTCTGTCTCTCCCTCTTACACACACACACACACACACACACACACACTTCTGCTTCCTCCTCATCACATCTCCTTCTCTGACTCTCTAGCCTCCCTTATAAGAATCCTAGTTGGGCCTACCCAGACAACCCAGGGTAATCTCCCCATCTCAAATCCTTAATTTATCACATCTGCAAAGTCCCTTTTGCCATGTAAGGTAACATATTCACAAAAGGAATCTGGGGATTAGGATGCAGACATCTTTGCAGTTTGCGGGGGGGGCGGGGGGGGGCGGCGGGGGTCATTATTCTGCCTACCACAGTGACATTAAAATTTTTCCTGTGCCACTAGTACTCATATGTCAAGACAACACTTAAGAGGAAAAATATTTCTCATGATTTTTTCCTAACAGTTTTATTGAGATATAATTCACATACCATACAATTTAAAGCAAATAATTTAATGCTTTTTAGTATAGTCACAGAGTTGTTCAATCATCACATCTTCATCTTTCTCCATTTTTAAATATGAGGAAACAAAGGCTTGAGACATTAAGGAAACTTGCTTAGAGTAACATCTGACTGGCAGGCCTGGGGCAATGCACTGGCGGTCAGGAGCTGAGATTCCAGTCCAGGGCTGGACTCCCTTCACCAAGTTAGACCAGTCACCTGGGAGCAGTGTGGTGTAGCAGTTAAACTAGCAGGCTTAGACTTGGGTTCAAGGCTTTGTTTTGCTATCTACAAGCTATGTGACATCTGGTAAAACTTCTTGGAGCCTTGGTTTCCTCATTTGAAAAATGGGGGCAATTCAATAAATGAGCAGGCTGACTCACCTGTAAGATGCCTTCTAGCTATGTCATTCCAAGATTTAATGAGGGAGGAAAAAGATAATTAAAAATAAATTCCCTAAGCATTCAGTTCAATGAGAGGGATGCGAATTCCCGAAGACAGCGGCCCACACACTTCCCTTGTACTCTCTGAGCACCTGGCCACAGGTCTCAAGAGTTCCTCACTGACGGGTCTCAGACACATGGGAAAGACAAATGCGTAAAATGATGGTTACATAGACAGATAAGTGTGTAAAGAGCTGTTGGGGGCGGGGTGGGCAGCGACAGCAGTAGGCCATGGGTGTGTGTGTGTGTGTGTGTGTGTGCGCGCGCGCGCGAGGGTTTGGGGCGTCTGCCCAGAAATGGGCAAAGGTCCAGTGAGTTGTAAACAGAGATGAGAGGGATCAGAGGCAGCTCTTCCGCAAGGCCAAGTTCAGCCTTAGTGCGAGGGCTAGAGAGGAGGGAGTGTGCGTTGGAGGTATGGTTCTGAAAATAAACCTTCAAAGACGCGATTGGTGACACAACACCACGCGCGGCCCCGCTGCAGTCCCCGCCCCCTCCCACCACACCCACTAGTCCGCGCGACTTGGTATGCTCCGCCACCACAATAAGCCTCCTTCCTCCGGCGTGCTATTGGTACAGCCCAAGCCCCGAGAGTTGAAACCCAAAGAAAGACACTCCCGTTGTCACGCCCGGTGTCTCTGATTGGCTGGAAAATTTAAAGATCCGGCCGGTGATAGGGTGATTCTCTACACCCAGTATTTGAAAGTTTCTAGTGTCCTACTTTTGACTGCATGCCGACTTTGTTCAGCTTGTTCGCCCGAGTGCTGGCGCAAGTGAGTGTTCACCCGATCCTAGAGGTGGGAGGCAGAGCGCCTGCCTCTTCAAGGGGTCCCTGCCGGGAGGGTGCGTACGAGTGGGTCAGACGGGGGTGAAAGGAAAGCCGGACGCCAGGGTCCCTCCGCGATTTCCCTAGCCAAATATTTTCTACCCCATCCCACCTTGGAGATGGGAAGCGCCGGGGCTTCAGAATCACACAAGCCCTGACTCCCACCAGCCGTTGTGGCCTCTCTCAGCCTGTTTTCCACTTCTGTACACGGGGAATAGTGAGACCTGCTTGGCTGCATATAAACCAGTGAACGTACCTGGAAGACAGAAGGCGCTGATTACATGTCAGTCCCCTGCTTACCTCCACACGTGAGAGTCCCCTGCTTCCTCGGGGGGGAGACTCAGGATTCTCGTGCCCGCCCTGGGTCTCTTGGAAGCAGGCTTCTTTTCTGCTCAGGGGATCCCTTCTGTGGCCCTTGTCGGACAGCCGAGGTTCCCCAACCCTGGGTGTACTTGACGCTGCCCATCCGCCGCTCTGGAAATTATTGTGTAGGAGAGTAATTTCTAAGAGAATTTCCGGTTCGCCCCAGGACCCTTTTACCTTCTCCGTGAACTCTTTGTGTTACCAGTGACAGCCCCGGGACCCTTTGTGGCCATGACCCGGTTCCCCGTCCTGACCTCTATACCACCTGTGATGACCCCTGCTCTCCGGTCTTTTTGCAGACCTGCAGAGTTGGTGGCGATGCTGTCGGGCACCCAGGCAGTGCAAGCGGGATGCGCGGACGCGGAGCTGCGGTGCCGTGTTGCTGTGGAGGAGTTGAGCCCGGGCGGGCAGCCGCGAAGGCGCCAGGCCCTACGCACCGCGGAGCTGAGACTGGGTCGTAACGAGCGCCGCGAGTTGATGCTGAGGCTGCAGGCGTCCGGGCCCGCGGGGCGGCCGCGGTGCTTTCCCCTGCGCGCCGCGCGCCTCTTCACGCGCTTCGCCAAGTCCGGGCGCAGCACTCTGCGGCTTCCCGCCGACGGCGCTCCCCGGACCGGCGCGGTGCAGCTGCTGCTCTCCGACTGCCCCCCTGACCGCCTGCGCCGCTTCCTGCGCACTCTGCGCCTCAAGCTGGCCGCGGCCCCGGGTCCCGGGCCGGCCTCCGCCCGCACGCAGCTGCTTGGCCCGCGGCCCAGCGACTTCGTCACCATCAGCCCGGTGCAGCCCGAGGAGCTGCGGCGCGCGGCGGCCACCTGGGTCACGGACTCCACGCCGGTGAAGCAGCCCACGGAGTCCCGGTCCGGGGCCAAGCCCAGCACCGTGAGGACAGGAAAGGGGGGACGCCTTGGGGAGTGGGTGTGCCACTGAGACGGAAGAGACCGAGAAAGCCCAAGTGTGGGGGGAAGATGGTGGAGGTATTCGAGATGGCTACTGGTTATCTCAGACGAGATGCTCATCAGACTTATGAGAATGACAGGAATATGGGAATTGTGCATGTTTCTCATGGTGCAATCCCTGAGACTGAGTAAGGAGACTAGGAAAAGGGGGCCAAGGTCACATTAAAAGAGAAAGCAGAGAAGGTGCTTCAGAAGAAAAGTGGGAACTTGGTCGCCCTGGAGGAGGAGAGGAGGTTTTGGAGAGAATGAAGCGGTCAGCTGTGTAGGGGCAGCCAACAGGTCCAATCAGATAGGGGGACAAAGTCTGGTGGGTCTGACAGTGTTCGGGAACTGGAACAAATGGATCACAGACCACAGAGGTTTGAGACAAGCTGGTGAGAAGAAGGAGATGCGGCAAGAAGGCGCCCTGGCTAGGCAGGGTTTTGCTTGGGTGTTTTGAGGCAAGAGAGACACATCTGTGACAGGAAGGGTAGTGAGAAGGAAGGATGGGTAAGAGAACCAGTAGAGTTAGGGAACCCAGGGGAGAAAGCTGAAGGAGAATCTGGACCTGCACACTGGGGTCTTCAGGGCACCAGGAGTCAGTGGAGATCCAGCCTCGGTCCCTTCCTCAAGGAGAGACCTGGACCCCTGTGGTTACTGGCAAGATCTCCAGGTGAACCGAGGCTGCCCAAGGGCTCCAAGGAGAGAAGCCAGCAGAGACACAAAGGGCTACCAGGCCAAGAAGGGAGGGGGCAATGCCTAGGGAATGTGGGGAGGCCCTGAGACAGCCCTATCCCCCCAGGAAGTCCCAAGGTGGCCCCTGCCTGTGAAGAAGCTGAGCTTGCCCCCCGCCAAACCAGAGCTTTCCAGGGAACAGGCTGCTGTGCTGAGGGTTGTCCTGAAAGGCCAGAGCATTTTCTTCACTGGGAGTGCAGGTAGTGGGGGGTAGAGTGGGTGTGGGGAGAACAGTGGTGTGCTAGGATGGAGGAGAAGTGGCCCTGACTTTGCCTTCTGCCCAGGGACGGGGAAGTCTTATCTGCTGAAGCGTATCCTGGGCTCACTGCCTCCCACAGGCACTGTGGCCACTGCCAGCACTGGGGTGGCAGCCTGCCACATCGGGGGTACTACCCTCCATGCCTTTGCAGGTAAGTGAGAGCCTCTGGGACTTAAGCTGGGAGCAAGCCAGGCAGGTGGGAAGAGAGGGGAGGTCAGGGTTGAGACAGGGCTGGGATCTCAGCCCAGGCTGAATAGTGTCACTCACAGGCATTGGCTCGGGTCAGGCTCCCCTGGCCCAGTGTGTGGCCCTGGCCCAGCGGCCAGGTGTGCGGCAGGGCTGGCTGAACTGCCAGCGGCTAGTCATTGATGAGATCTCCATGGTGGAAGCGGACCTATTTGATAAGCTGGAGGCCGTGGCCAGGTCAGTATGGGCAGTGAGGACTGGGTTCTGGTGTTCTTCCATGTGGAACTCGCTCACCCCAGCGCCTAAAGCACCACATGCTCCTCTCCAGAGCTGTCCGGCAGCAGAACAAGCCATTTGGAGGGATCCAGCTCATCATCTGTGGGGACTTCCTGCAGCTGCCGCCTGTAACCAAGGGATCCCAGCCCCCGCAGTTCTGCTTCCAGGTAGCACTCACCCTCTGGCCCTGACCCCCATAGGGGTCTGCTCTGCTCCCTGACGCCCCATCTTGCCCCCACCAGGCCAAGAGCTGGAGGAGATGTGTCCCAGTGACCCTGGAGCTGACGGAGGTGTGGAGGCAGACAGACAAGACCTTCATCTCTCTGCTGCAAGCTGTGCGGCTGGGCAGGTGGGCCCTGGTGAATAGAGAAGGGGCCATGGGATGCGGATCCAAGCGTGGGTCAGAGAGGAGCACAGGAACCCAGAGAAGGGAGAGAAATGCTTCATGGCCCCATTGGGGATGGTCACTCTGTGAGCACTGGGGCCCAGCCTCCCCCAGGGTTGGGTCCCTACCATCCAGCACAGGGCCTGGCACAGAGTACATCTCAGGGAATTATGGGCAGATGGAGACACAAGAGTTATTCAGAGATGTTAACACTCCCATTTTACAGATGCAGAAACTGGGGTTCAAAGAGGTGAAGTGACTTGTCCAAAGTCATGGCTAGTAAGTGGCTGAGCTAGGATTTGAACTCAGGTCTGACTGTAAAACCCAAGTTCCTTCTACTCTTTGAGCCTGTGCGGCCACTTGGTCGGGGAGAGGAGGTTGCAGACATGATCCCACCCCAGCTAGGACAAAAGGTTGAAATGCTACAGGTATTCTAACTTGGGAGTGGAAAGGAGGCCAGGAGGGCAGAAGATATGGACCGCAGCTGGGTCTTGGGACCCAGGTCAGTTTGGGATGGGATGAAGGAAGCAGGTGGTGGTGGTGAGGGGCTTTCTATGCCTGGGGACAGGAGGCAGGTAGGCAGGTGCACAGCGTACACAAGCAAGTGTGGGGGACAAGAGAAAGGCTGAGTGGCAGAGCAGTGAGAGGTGTTCCCAACTTCTTCCCCCTCCTCTCACTTGAGTTGCTGCAGCACCCAGGCTTCCCTGGAGGAAGGCTTGAAGTGCGGAAAATAGAAACACAGGCTAGATTTTTTTTTTCCCCTAAGGCAGCAGGCAAGGGGCTAGAAAATTGTAGCTTGGAGGCCAATCTGATTATAGGGTACCAGTATTACAGGGCATCAACGTCAGAGCCTCACCTCAGTCTCTAAATCTCTGGCCTATGCTCACTCCTTATATCTAACTTCCTCAGGAGAGCGGCTAGCTCCAACCCGGGGGCAGACACAGGGAAGGGTGCCTGCCCATGATCACAGCCAAGCACCACTCCCATGCTCATTCTCCATGTCTGGGGTCCAAGTGAGGAAGGAACAAGTTGGCCAGCTTGGGGAACCAGCAAATCTTGCCCTGGTGCCCCATCCAGTCCCCAAGCCTGGTCCACGGCCTGCTGCATGGGCCGTATCACCCACGTGCCCCGCCTTCCCTGGTGTTCAGGTAGGCTCCGCCCTGATAGCCTGGCCTCTGCAGGTGCTCAGATGAGGTCACCCGCCAGCTCCGGGCCACGGCTGCCCACAGGGTGGGGCGAGATGGGATTGTGGCCACGAGGCTCTGCACCCACCAGGATGATGTGGCCCTTACCAACGAGAGGCAGCTGCAGAAACTACCAGGTGAGCAGGGAGCTGGGGCTGGGCCAGACCAGCTGGGAGAGGCCATCAGGCAGGCATGGCCCCACAGGCGGCCTGGGCCCTTGGTGTCATTTAGATATCTCGGTCCCAGCCCCTGTGACCATAAAGTCCCTTACATTTGCAGATGTAATTGTGTCTTTGAGAGATGTGACCTTTCCTGGGTCAAAGTCATTCAGCCAGTAAACACTAAAAATGAGACTTGAACCCAGGCCTCTGATTCCAAAGCCCCAGCTAGGTTTGAGCTGTGCTCACTAGCTCTCTCCATGCCCTGGTCTAATATGTGTTTTTTCGGAAATTGAGCCACAAGTCAGTGACTTGTAATCTGTTTGCCCAACTCTCTTTTCCCAGGTGAGGTACACAGCTTTGAGGCCATGGACAGTGACCCTGAGCAAGCCCGGACCCTGGATGCCCAATGTCCCGTTAGCCAGCTCCTTCAGCTAAAGCTGGGGGCTCAGGTGAGTGGGAACCAGGGCCTAGACCCTGTGAGCATCGGCCTCCCTGATCCTAGCCCCTCTGCACGGGCTGCTCCACAGCCAGAGGGCCCAGATGTGACCATAGCAAACTTCTTCCCTCCTGTTCCCAGTCACCTTCCTGCTTTCCATTTTCCACTGCCCTCCTCTTCCTCCACCTGAAGCTCCAAGCAGCGTTGCTTTAGACAAATCCCTTTCCTTTGCTGAAGCTGGGTTTCCCCATCTCTAAATTCAGAGTAAAATACCTACCGCACTCAGTTGTCTTCTGTAGCATAGCCTCTACTGTGAGCATCCTCCTTCCTTCCACAATGGTGAGGGTGGGATCCTTTTCTCAGGTTCCAAAGGGCACCTAGGGGGAAATGCAGGCACAGTGGTTGGAAGAGGGCTATCCCTCAAGATTGAGGTCCATACACATTCCCTCTAATAGACATGGTCATTGTGCCCTGTCACCTTATTGTTCTTTACCCCCTCCTTCTGAGGCAAACTGAGCAAATGTCATTCCCCTTTGGCACAAGGGGAAACTTGAGACCTAAGGAAATAAAGTAGTTTGTCGCAGGGGCCCCAGCAGACTCAGTGCCCCTCCGTGACAGACCCCAGCCTCAGAGATCCACCGAAGCGACCCCTGGAGCTGAGGCCAGGCGTAGGGATGCCCTGCTGTCCATGCCTCCAGTTTTCCTTCTCTCGCAGGTGATGCTGGTGAAGAACTTGGCAGTGTCTCGGGGCCTGGTAAATGGTGCCCGAGGGGTAGTAGTTGGGTTCGAAGCCGAGGGGAGAGGTAAGTGATAGGGGAGCAGTCCTACTGCTCGGGTTTGCAACAGGGCCCTGGGTTAGTGTGCAGAGGAAAAGGCTAGCATGGACAGGTGAGGCCTGTCCTCACCTTGGAGCCCTGGAGCGGGACTGAAAGGTGGGACTTCTCCACGCCTCCCTCAGGGCTGCCCCAGGTGAGGTTCCTGTGTGGAGTCACCGAGGTCATCCGTGCAGACCGCTGGATGGTGCAGGCCACTGGGGGCCGGCTTCTCAGCCGGCAGCAGCTGCCCCTCCAGCTGGCCTGGGCCATATCCATCCACAAGAGCCAGGTGAGTGTGGGGATGGGGGCAGGATAGGCCTGGGGCATGTTGAAGGGTGGGGGGTCTTAGAGGCTTTTTGAGGGTTGAACTTGCCCTGGATGGAAAGTTCCAGACCAGCTGTAGAATAAACCTTTCTTTAGTGCATTTCCCATCCCACTTCCTCTCTCTTTCCTAGACACATACACTTCCCCTCTGTCATCTCGGGCCCTGCCATTTTCTGAGCCACTGTTGGATATGTTAATTTTAACATATTACGACAACTGTAGGAGGTATAGTTGTAATAATTATTCTTGTTTTACAGAAGAGGAAACCAAGGCTCAGAGAGGTTAAGTAACTTGTCCAAGGTCACACAGCTAGTGCCCTGCAGAGCCGAGATTCATTTCCATGCCTGTCTGACCCAGACCTGAGCTCTTTCCTTTCACCCTTATCCCTCTACTCTTATCTTGGATCTGTATTTCCTGGACACCCCCCTACTCAGACACCCATCCTGTCTCTCTGACTCAGAATCTCTGGACTGGGCAAGGAGATCAGGGGCAATAGCTGGGCTGGTGGAGGTGGGGTCAGGTTCCTGGGCACAAGTGAATTCAGGCTGAGCTGGCTCCAGCCCTGTCCCTCCATCCCCCAGGGCATGTCCCTGGATTGCGTGGAGATCTCTCTGGGCCGTGTGTTTGCCAGCGGCCAGGCCTATGTGGCCCTTTCCCGGGCCCGCAGCCTGCAGGGCCTATGTGTGTTGGACTTTGACCCCATGATGGTTCGCTGTGACCCCCGTGTGCTGAGCTTCTATGCTACCCTGCGGCAGGACAGGGGCCTCAGCCTGGTAAGAGGGAGTCACCCAATGGTGGGCCATGTGGCCGTGGGCAGCCTGGGAGCTAGGACAGAGGGAAGGCCAAAGGACCATGGGGAGGGGGTGGCAGAGCCTCCTCTGGCTCCGTTGGCAGCAGGGGCAAGAGGAAGGAGATGCTGGCCCCCAGGCTACGACTCGGGGGTGGCACAAGCCCATGACTGGGTTTCTCTGGCTCTGATATAGGAGTCCCCAGATGACGATGAGGCAGCCTCAGACCAGGAGAACGTGGACCCGAACCTTTGATCTGCAAAGAGAAGACAAAGGGTGGTCTCCCCCTCTTCCTGCTCCCTGGTGGGCCAGGCCCCAGTGGATACCTGGGGGAGGGTAGTGAATGTCCCTTTCTCCCTTCATCAGGGGCTCTCAGTCTCCTGGCAGGGCTCAGGAGAGAGTGCTTCCCATCCATTTGCCAGCTGTGCCTCAGTTTTTCCCTTTGCCCGGGGTGAGCTGCTTCTGGCGTCAGGAGTTGGCAATGGGCCTGCAGCGGTAGCTGGTGTTATAGGACAGAGCTCTCTGCGAGGGGCTGGCCCCAGGGCCACACGGTTGTGAATGCCACTCTCTTTAGGCTGCAGACAGGAGAGGTGGCAGGTCCTCCAGGAGCAGAAACAGGCTGTAGGGGTCCTGGCAGGGGACTCAGGTCCCAAGCAGAGAAGGGAACCTTGCTGGGGGAGGGGATCTTCACAGCTAGACCCAGCCCAGCACAAGCCAGGGCAAACACCCTCCTGAGCCTAACCTGAGAACATGCACTGCAAACTGTGTGTCTATATCTTACGCTGCTCTTTTGGTGAAGAAGTCATGTGTAGGAGTATTGAAATGGATGTTCTCAGACTGTATTTATTTTGGACAAATAAACCTGTGAACTGTGTGAGGACTGTGAGTTGAGTCTTATGGTCCCTTTAAGAACCCCTACCTGGGGCACTGGCTGACCCTTTCCGGGGTGCTACCCCTACCCCACCCCGCATACCTGGTCACACAGAGGTGTCTGTTAATGCCTTGATGGCTGAGCTCAGAGCACCCTTATATGAGGTTTTGTTAGTATCACTGGTTATTTGGCAAAGCTGAGTTACCTGAGGTTGGTGACTCATAGCGAATTGCCGTCACCCAACAGTCTGACAAGGACACACTAGAGAATTCACACGATGGGAAATGGACCTGTCACAATGTCCAAATGCTGGGGGCCTCGGTTGAAACTTTCTCACTTTGTGCCTTACTAGGGCTCCAGCTTGGATGTACTGATCATCATAGCTTCAGCTGATCAAAAAGCCTGATGGAAATTGCTCAGGGGCCCTCATAGGCTGGCAAAGACTATTAAGGTTCACTGCTTATGAGTGAAAAGGTTATCAGTTCTGGCTGATAAATACAGGTTATAGTGGAAGCGTGCAGTGGCAACTCTAGAGAGCAATGGTTAGTTAAATGTAAAATTGCCAATGGTGGGAGACCTTAAGAAGGCGGAAACCATGCTGGTTGCTAGGGGATGTGAAATCTCAGGTGCTTGAAGGTGTTTGTCTTTGTCTCCCAAAAGCCAGCAGAGGCTCCAGCGCACAAAGATTGGGTGCTCAGGGAGTGTCTGCTTAAATGGGGGCTCAGTGCCATGGTGTTTCAGAGGGGCTACAGGGCCTCAGACATTCACGGTGGGCTTCGTGGAGGAGGCACAGCCTGTGGAGAATTTGACTGATGGTTATAGATCGGGGAGAGACCTGGCTTTCCATCCTGGTTTTACCACTCACCAGCTGTGCAACTTTAGGCATGTTACACAACCTCTCTGAGAGGGTTTCCTTACCTATAAAGTGCAGGTGGTAACTGACATCCACATAGGTTTGTTGGGAGAAAGGCCAGCCACATGGCAGGAGGTCAATCAGTAGCTGTTATTAACATTTATGGGACTTCCCTGGTGGCGCAGTGGTTTAGAATCCGCCTGCCAGTGCAGGGGACACGGGTTCGAGCCCTGGTCCAGGAAGATCCCACATGCCGCAGAGCAACTAAGCCCGTGCGCCACGACTACTGAGCCCACGTGCCGCAACTACTGAAGCCTGCGCGCCTAGAGCCCGTGCTCCACAACAAGAGAAGCCACTGCAATGAGAAGCCCGCGCACCACAACGAAGAGTAGCCCCTGCTCGCTGCAACTAGAGAAAGCCCGCGTGCAGCAACGAAGACCCAACACAGCCAAAATAAATAAATAAAATTTATGATGACTAATGGTTATCATCACCGTGGTGTCCGTAGAGCTCAGTCCTGCCTGTTCCTACACTGGCTCCTTTGACAAACAAGATGTGGGGGCTTAGAGTGGGTGTGGGTGCCAGCCGGGCCCCCTGGATGACCCCTGCCTGCCTTGCACTTGCCACCACCCTTCCTGACCCTGAGGAGTCAACTGTTTTTCTGTGGCATGAACCCTTTCCTCTGCCCCAAATACAAGACAGTCTTAGGAGAAGCCAAGCCCATCAGGGTGACCTCACACACACAAGTGGGCAACCATGGGGGCTTTTAAATGTGGTGCCATTCAAGGATCAGGGTGTTGCCAAGTCAAGATAACTTGAGCGGGAAAGGAAGGTGGCAGAACAGAAGCCCAGCGCAAAGAACTGATATGAAGCCCAGAAACCCAGGCTTGGGAACCAGAGAGGCTAGCCACTGAAGGTGGAGCTGGGAGCAGCTGGCCAGGAGGACCTCTGCGGCCACCCCTGGACAGCGAGCACAGCCACCAGGGAAGAAGTCCTGAACTACACAGGTGGGCATGTCTCTGGTTGAGCTTGGTCTCCTGTGCAGAGCCTGCAGCCACTGACAAGAGGCTGAATATGCTCTCAGGGTGCAAGAAGGACCAGGGCTTCTGCCCAGAGATGAATCCCCCATCATCCTCCAGAGCCAGGCTCTTGAAGGTGTCTTGGAGATGCAGTTATTTCTTCTGTACACTCTCCTGGGACTCTCCTCTCTGACCCCGCCCCTCAACTTACACTGCTGAGGCATCCCCACCACCTCCAGCCCCTTTCCCTTCCCCAGGGACTGATTTCAGCTTTCCCTGCTCTCAGATGAACTCACCCTGCTTAAAGATGTCTTCCTCATGAGACCATCTGGGCACCAGAAAATCCTGTCCTTAGCAATCCTCTCTCAAGGTGAGGATGCTCTCCTGAAGGCCCCTGGAGGAGGGCAAACATGTTCATAGGAGGGGGAGCTCCAGACATCCCTGCCCCTCAGGCCAGATCATGAGAGTAGACTGCCTCATGAGGGAGGTGTGCAAGGAACCTCCCAGTTCTTTATTTTCTTGGCATCTCATTTAATCTAAATTTAAACCTGAATCCCTGGGGGGTGTAGGGAAACCCCTATCTCAGTCAGGATTGGGGGCTCCCCACCCTCAGGGTCATACAGGCAGGAGTAGGCCTCATAGGAGCAGGCCTCTCAGCTCCAGGGCCTCATGGTAGCTGCTGACACCCGCAGTGACCAGCATCCACAGGCCATAACTCTGCCCAGGCCCAGGGGCAGGGTCGGGGAGGGCTTTCCCAGAGCCATAACCTCTCTGGGGGCCTCACACCATGCCCTCTGGAACCCTGCATCTCCCTGTGGTACTCCCAGGGGACCCTCTGATCGCTGGACCCTCCCCTGTCTTGGAGACCTTCCTCTCTGATTCTCCTTACCCCCAACATAATCCCCTCAAGGAAGTGGACCTAGGATGCAAAAGCCAGGAAACACTGTGTCCTCAGATAGCTTCCAGATTTGAGACAAAGAAGCCTGGTGACCCCACTTAGAATTTGGGGGCGGGGTGGAGGGATAAGGACTGACAGAACCAAGAAAACATCCTCAGTAATATCCTGTCACACTGGGATAAAGGAGACCTCCTGCCCGTCTTGTGCGTTCATTTATTCATTCATTCATTTCACAAATATTTATCCAGGTGCTGGCTAGACACTGGAGACCCCACAGTAGCAAGAGACCTGGCTTAGATGTCTTTGTGCACCAAAGCACTGAGCACAATTACTTTAGAAAGGAGACACTTCATAAAATGTTTGATATTTAAAGAATTCAGGGACAGTGCCATCCCCTGAGAGGTGGGGATTTTTACTCCCATTTTGCAGAGGAGGTAGCTGAGGCCTGGGGAGCTAGGCAGTGGCAGAGCTGGAACTGGAACCCTGTGCACTCCACTTGGTGTTCACGGAGCTGTCCAAAGGGAGTAAGAGGTGGGGCTGAGACAGAGGGACTGGTGGAGGGCCCACCTTCACCCTACCCTCAGTCGGAGGCATGGGGAGGGTTTAGCGAGGCATGACCTGCTCCTTTCTGAGATCCTGGCACAGTTTGCTCACCCCTACAGGGCCAATGGTGGTGCTCAGACCGCTGCATCCCAGAGTAGTGGGCCTCCTGCTCCCCAAGCACCACACACAAGGCACCACTAGGTGGCGCCAAGTCGTCAGTCGGTCTCTGCCCGGAGACCTGTCGGGTCCTTTGTCTTCCAGTCTCTGTGCCTGGGTGGGCCACCCTCAGGAGCTGGGGCGGCCAGTAGGCATAGGGAAGCTTCTTTGTTGAGAAGCTAGTACCAGGTATCTGTTGAGTGTCTCATGGTTTGAGTTCATTAGCCCCCTTGTTTTTCCACAATAACTCCAAGAGGAGAGTGGGACATTATCCCCATCTTATGGGGAAAGGAAACTAATCCCTTGTAAGGTTAGGTGACTTGGCCAAGGTCACACTGCAGGCTGGGTCTGGAACCCAAGTCCCAGGGTCCTGGGATATTTGCAAGGTCAGCAGAGGGCACTGAAGCCAGATACTGGCTCCACCACTTGCTGTGTAACCTTGGACATGCTGCCTAAAACCTCAGCCCAAATTTCATCATTAGCCATGGAGTTAGGACAGGTAAAGAGCTGGGGTGGGGACAGGCATGTGGTAAACCCTCATGGTTAGCTCCTATTGGCCTTTATTGCACTTACCTGAAGAGGCCACCCTGCAACCCTCCTCATCTCTCCCTCCCCCTGTCCCCCAGCCTCTAGGGTGGCCAGAGAATAACAAAGAGAATTAGCAGGAGCCCAGAGTAAACTCTCTTTCAGTCTTCCCTCCTGGAGGACCCAGGCTGTGCCCAGCCTCTAAGGGGAAGGGGAGAATGAGGTCTTGTCCCCTCTCCTTCCCAAAACAAACTTGAGTCCCAGCCCTGGTCGGTGACTGTGTGTATCATAACTGCCCCTCTTCTTGCCTCTGTCTACCTTCTTATCTGAGCGTCTTTGATGACTCTATGAGGGGGATCTTTAGACCTAGTTTACAGAGGAGGCTCACAGAAGGTGGGCAGCTCAAGGTCACAGGGCTGTAAATGGCAGAACCAGGATGGCACCCAGGTGTCTGAAGCCTCACCTGGGTGTTCAGGACCTTTGCAAAAAGGAGGAAGCCGGTGCTGCTTCCTTTCCCTAGCTTTGTTCCTGAAACCCCACACTCAAGGCTCCATTTCCTTAGGATTCCAAGAGCATCACCTGCTGAGACATAAATGGCCGGGAGAGGATGAGATGGAAGGGGAGGGGCTTGGTAGGAGACCCTGAAGGGGGCAGTGAACCGGGTGCCAGACTAGCCCTGCGGGGAGGAAGCTGATAGTCAGCCCACCTTCCACTCCTCGGACTCCCACCACCTCCAGCCCCCTCCTGCAGCCTCGCAGCCTCCCGGCAGATGCCCGCCCCAGGGGTGCCCCCTCACTCCCCTCCCCCAGCTGGTGTTGGGTTCAGTAAGCAAAGCCCCAGCTCACCTGGGAAGGTGTCGAGTGAGGAGGGCGTCCAGTTACAAGCTGGGGCTGGGAGGGCAAGCAGGGGCAACCCGGGGGCAGGAGCCAAAGGCCTGGGACCTGGTGGTGGGGGTAAGGTGTCCGGGGGAGGGCTCAAGACCTACCCCCCAACCCTGCAGGGGCCTCCTCCCTGCTGCAGGAGGCCCCAGCTCCTGGGGACTGAAGCAGGAAGACCATGGCATCCTCCTCAGATGCCACCTGGCAACCAGCCCACCCGTCAGGTCCCTAAGCTAGGCCTCAGTTTCCTCATCCTCAGAATGGGGGTAGGGTGGGAATAAGCCCCGTGTAACCGATCCACCACAGCCCAGGACTAATCTGGGTAAACTGTGAAGGGCTGTGCACACCCTTAGGGAGGGTGTTCTCTCTGTTCAGCTCCAGTCCTTTCTCTCCAACACCCAGGGTGGCCTCCTCCCCCGCCCTGCACCCTGGGCCCTGGCACTGCACTCCATGCCTATTTAAGGCAAATCTCCTGATCTCCTTTTAAATAACATTCACTCCTTGTTGTGGAACAGACAAGCAGGGCCTGAGCTTAGAGAAAGGGGAGGGAGTTGCAAATATCCCATCAGAGAATGGGGGGAACACGGTGGTGAAGCAGGTATGGGAGGGTCCTTGCACTCCCTACCCCAGCCTCCCATTTGGTCCCCTCACTGCACAGGCCCTGGATTGGCTCCAACCCCTTTAGAGGGACTGGGGCACTCCCAGAAGGCTTCCTGTAGCCCCAGGGACTGTGGTGGTGTGGGAGACTGAGGAATAATGCCACACCCAAGGCCTGGGGGGTGGCGTGCTTGGTTAAGAAGTGGCATTTGACCAGCAAGGGGAGTGGGAGGGCCTGGGGTAAGACTGACATCTGATCTCACAGCCTGCCAGTAAGGATGAAACAACTGCTATTCCCTTCTAGAATCAGAGGCTAAGAGAGGCCAAGAGACCAGCCCAGGGCCACACAACTAGTGAGTGGAAAGGTCTGAAATCTAGGCCTCGCTCTGCTCCAAATTTATGCTTTCTGCCCCTCCATGCCAGGTCTCCTTGTGTCTGGGGCTGTATGTGACACCAGACAGTGACTCATCAGGGACCAGGCATCATTCAAAGTCCCCCACACGGGACTTCCCTGGTGGCACAGTGGTCCGGAATCCACCTACCAATGCAGGGGACATGGGTTCGAGCCCTGGTCTAGGAAGATCCCACATGCCACGGAGCAACTAAGCCCGTGCGCCACAACTACTGAGCCTGCGCTGTAGAGCCCGCGAGCCACAACTACTGAGCCCGCGTGCCACAACTACTGATACCCGTGTGCCTAGAGCCCGTGCTCCACAACAAGAGAAGCCACTGCAATGAGAAGCCCGCGCACCACAACGAAGAGTAGCCCCTGCTCACTGCAACTAGAGAAAGCCCGCGTGCAGCAATGAAGACTCAACGCAGCCAAAAATAAATAAATAAAAAATAAATTTAAAAAAACGAAAACAAAAACCAAGTCCCCCCCACACTCTTCCTGCCTGCATAGCTCTCAGGCAGGGACCCTGACTCCTTTGCTTCTGCCTCCCTCTTCTTTTCTCCAGGCCAACCACACCTCTCCTTCCCCTCCTCCCGGGTTCCTGGCCCAGGCATCCCCCTGCTTCTGGCCTGGCCCCCAGATTAGCTCACCTTAACTTGGTCACGTACTCAGAAACTTACAGCCAGAAAGTGGCATGTCCCACACTCCTCCGAAGGAGTGAAGCAGCGAGGCTAGTCTCCTTCCCACTGCAGGACCCCCCGCAGGGCCCTTCCCAGCCACTCTGTTCTTCCCCCTTGAGGCCCGGAGGCCCTCCCTCTCCTGCTTCCTTCTCTCCCTCTTTCCCCCAGGTGTCCTGGCCGCCTCCCCAGCCTCCCATCTCAGAGTGGCTAATCCCCCTGTGGTCCTCACATGACGGAGACGCCCTCTTTGGGGTTCGAAAGGAGAGGGTCAGGGATCCTTTACAGATCATGTTGCCTCCCCAGGCATGTAAGCCCCAAGAGGCCAGCCCCACCCGCGTGTCAGTGTCATGCTGGACTAGGGGGTGGGGGACCAGAGTGAGGAAGAAGCCCTAGCCATGTCTTCCTCTGGGCACATAGAGCAGATAGGGGCCAATGCGGTCAGCTGGTCCAATGGCCTCATTTCACAGATGAGCAACTGTGGCCCAGGGAAGAGGAGGAGAGGCCCCGGGGGCTCACAGTGAGACAGAAGCTGAGCTGGGTCTTACTGGGACCCCTGGTAACCTCAGGTGGGGCTTGATCCCAGGGGAAGAAGGGTCAATTATAGGAGGAAACTCAGCTCAGTGTTTAATCGGGGTGGGGTGTCCTTGAACTTTTCAGGGTCTTTCTAGCTTGGTTCTACCTTTTACCTCTTGTTTGCCCTTGGACAATCCCCTTTCTCTCTTTGGGTCTCAGTTTTCTTGTGTAAAACAAGTGGGTTGGGTAGATGGTCTTTAAGATCCCTTACTGTTTACATCTTCTGTAGCTCCCATCAGCCCAGCCCCATCGCCCAGGCCTTTCCAGCTCTCGCCCAGGCCCAGGTCTGCCTCATAGCCCCTCAAGATTGCTCCAACAGGGAATTCCCTGTGGTTGGGACTCGGCACTTCCATGGCAGGGGGTGCGGGTTCGATCCCTAGTTGGGGAACTAAGATCCCGCATGCTGTGCGGCACGGCCAGAAAAAAAAAAGATTGCTCCAACAGCCTCTACACTGTCTCTAGCCTCCGCTCTCGTCCCCTGCAATAAGCTGCCCCAGACATCGCCCAGGTAACCTACTGATGCTTAGGAATCTCCCATGGCCCTCCACGGCCTCCCTAAGAATAATCCAACTCATCACCTGGCATTCAGCACATCCCACCCGCAGCCTTGGACCCTGGGCTCAGTTTCTTCATCTACCAAGCACTAACGACCCCTCACTTAGGGACTGTGGTGTAGACACATAGTGGGGCACAGGCCAGGAGCCCAGGAAAGGTGGGATGGCCTGAGTGGCACTCAGGGTTTCTCTGTGCTGAAAAGGCTGCCCATCCCACCCCCACTCCTTCATCCAAATTGGTGAGGTGCTCCAAGGCTGATTCAAGCTCCATCCCCTCCTAGAGAGGCCAGGCCCCCTGGGTGGCCCCATCAGAGTGACCTTGCCCATGTGGAGCTCCCACAGGCCAGATTCACTCGCCTGCCTGTATCTGCAGCTCCCGCCATCCTGTGGGGAAGGTACAACTGGCCGCTCCTGGAGAACCAGCTGGCAGGCACTTGCTGAGTGAACCCTTGGGTCTGTGGGTTCCTGCCCAAACCCCTCTCCTTCCCCCAGGGCGGTGTTTTTTTTTTTGTTTTTTTTTTTTTGCGGTACGCGGGCCTCTCACTGTTGTGGCCTCTCCCGTTGCGGAGCACAGGCTCCGGGCGCACAGACTCAGCGGCCATGGCTCACGGGCCCAGCCACTCCGCGGCATGTGGGATCTTCCCAGACTGGGGCACGAACCCGTGTCCCCTGCATCGGCAGGCGGACTCTCAACCACTGCGCCACCAGGGAAGCCCCAGGGCGGTGTTTTTAACATGGGATTTTCTTTGACTCTCAGAGACTTCCTCACTCCCAGCTCCACAAGCTCATAGCTGGGCCTCGGGGCAGACTCTCAGCTGGAGGTTTTAGACCCTGTCTTGCCCTGATCCAGTGACTGGCCAAATGGACTCTCAGAAGCCTTCCCCAAAGGCCCAGGAAGGAGTAGCTGGCAGGAAATACCACTTATTAGAAGAGAATGCTAAGGGAAGAGAAGCCAGGACCTAGAAGCCAGGACCTAGAAGCCAGGAAGAGAAGCCAGGACCCACCCTGGGGTTTGAACACTGCTTCAGCCACTTACTAGTTTCAGGGTCTTGGGAAAATTACCTAATGTCTCTGAGCCTCAGTTTCCTCATTGGGAAATAATAACAACTATTTCATCCTATAATGAGAGAATTAGATGATGCACGCAAAGTGCTGAGCTCACGGCCTGACACCTCGTAAATGCTCAAAAAATGGTAGCTATAATCCTTATTGAGGACAGATGGATCAAGGCCCCCAGCTGAGGGGGTGCAGGCTGTTGGTTGTTCAGCCAGAGGTAGGCAGCTGGTTAGTAGCTAGAATACAAACACAAAGTCCCAAGCCTGGTGCTAAGCAGTCTACATACATCATCTCATTTAAACAGTCCCTTCCTCTCTCAAAAGTAGGGGAAATTTCCTAAGGCTCAGTGAGTACTTGTAGAAGGTCTGCAGTTTACAAAGTACTGTTTACTTTATAGAGCCAACCTCTAATCCTGTGAGCATTCTAATAGTTGTCAATGGTCACAAGACTAGATCTGGGACTAGAACCAGGGGACGGCTCCATCTTTCCCCAGAGGCTGGTGGCAGACACTCTGAGGGGCTTGGTGAGGCCTGAAATCCCCACCCAGGGCCTAGGGTGGGACAGGGGCTTTGAAGACAACAGTGTCATGTCTGGCTCCTGCCCAGTATCTGGTTCTGTGCTGGGCGGAGACCTGGCTCTGCAACTCATCAGCCCCACCTGTCAGCCCTCCCAGGCAGGCACGTGGGGCCTTCGGTTATCACTAAGGAGAGCGCGGCTGAGGGGGGCCTCAGTTCAGGGGCCTGGTCTCCCTTCCTTGCTGGGCACCTGCAGGCAGGGAGCTGTGTTCCCACCGGCCAAGCACCTCCAAGTTGACTGGGCTCTGTTATATGACAGGTACCCTGAAATATGCAAAGACCGCACTCATTCAATAAATATTTACTGAACACTGACAGTGTGCCTGGCCCTGAGCTGGCTGTGGGGTATTGGACAAAAATTCCTGCCTACATTCTAGTAAAAGAAGCTGTAAAGGAAAGCATAAGTGTGGTGGAAATAAAAGAGAGCAATTAGCTTTACACAGGTTAGTCTGAGAAGGCCTTTGAGCTGAGGGAGGGAAGTACAGCTAGAAAGAGCATTCTGGACAGAGAAGAGGGCCCACGCAAAGGCCCTGAGACAGGAAAATTCGGAGTGTTTGGAGATGAGCAAGCCTGCTGTGAGGTGGGCACACAGCGAGCTTGCCCTCAATAAATGGCAGCTGAACAAATCAACCAAAGATCATAGGATTTCTGCATCCAGCTGAGATGGGGTAACAGGCACTGGATTTACATCCCCACCTAAGACAACTAAAATACCCCGCAAAATATATGAAACGGTGGTTCTCAAGACATTGGGTGCCAGACAGGGAAAAATAGTGACTTCTGGGAGTAAGGAAACAAATGAGGTGAGCCCTATAAATGCCCCACCTCACTGCCTGAAGAAAGTTTCCAGACCAGAGCGCAGCGAGAGGAAGGCGGGTGAAGTCTAGCAGCCTCCCCACACTGAGAAGACACTGAAAAGCTGGGAGTACGGAACACAAGGCAGAGAACCAAAAGGGCAAGAGCTGCACACAGAGAACTTTAGAGCTCTACACAGGGTACCTCTGCAGTCATTCTGCTCAGTGCATGCACGTGAGGAAACCACCAGAAAGCACAGTGCGCACCACCCAAAAGGATGAGAGAGGATAATCCTTGGAGCTCACAGAGAGCTGCAAATAGTGCTGGTTCCCACAAACCAGAGTAGAAACCACACAATTAACGGGACACTGAGTAGAGCCAGCGTCAGAAGAATTTTTGGCTCGGAAGTGGGAAAAAAGTAGACACTGCTATGGCTCCCTCTAACAAAAGTAAGATCTGAAAGGACCAAACTGTTTTCAAGTAACTTTTGCACCGCAGGACAAAGCTCAAGGACATTTATAAGAATACACACACACACAGGGCTTCCCTGGTGGCGCAGTGGTTAGGGGTCCGCCTGCCAGTGCAGGGGGTGCGGGTTCGTGCCCCGGTCTGGGAGGATCCTGCATGCCGCGGAGCGGCTGGGCCCGTGGGCCATGGCCGCTGAGCCTGCGCGTCTGGAGCCTGTGCTCCGCGTGCGGGGGCTGGGGGGTGGGGGGTGGCGGCAGCAGTGAGGGGCCCGCGAACCGAAAAAAAAAAAAAAGAATACACACACACACAAATCCAGCAATTGATAAAATAAAATTCTTAATGCCTGGCAACCAATAAAAATTAGCAGGTAAAAAAGAAACAGGAAAATATGACTTATAATGAAAAGAAAAACCAATCAATTGAAACCTACCTAGAAATTACCCAGATGATAGAGTTATTACAGACTTTTTTTTTTTT